GAGAAAAGCACTAATTATTGGGTGCGGTCGTCGAACCCAACGAGTTCACGACTTATGAGTCCGACGCAAGGGATCTGTGCGGCTAGGCTGCCTGATTGGGTTTAGTAGATTGGTCATGGGTAGACTTTTTTGTACTATGAGTATGTTCCCTGGTTTCGGGACTTCGAGTCGACTAGATGATCCAGATGTAATCGCATAAAATTCCAGGGGGACACAGGAAATTGGCCAGTAGTGCTAGAGATCTAGAAATTGTTTGCCTCTCCATGCGAGCGATCGTCAGCTTAGAGAGGTACCTCTTTACAGGGGGCGAAGAACTATTTCTGATTTGAGACTCTTTCCCATCACAGTGTTGTGGGTCCCTAACTTAACTCTGGATAGCGGCACAGGAACCTGTTTTTTGTTCATTCTGAGCGAATCTGGAGCGCTAGCCTTCCCCGGCGACCCCGCAGCCGGCTGGAACTTCCTTCCAGCCACTCACTTGGCGCTGGAAAATGACAGAACGTAGATAGGTAAGAACTCTTTCTCTCAGTTCGCTGGCTGTGATGACGTGTGTGGTGGTAGTCTACTTCGAGTGTGCGACTGCTGAATGGAATATTATACCTATGGGCCTGCTGGCCTGCAGGCCTGTTACTGGTCCTTTTGGAATGGTCTTGACCAATTCCAAACCCGCACTAAGCACGGGTCAATTATTATCGTTATTATTATTTGCCTCTTGACTGCCAGAACTGACTAAGTTGCTCTGCTAATGATCCTACGTACTAAATCTACTTGAATGGTTTTACGAGGGGCAGCGAATAATTATCATCTGCGACTGTGGATTTCTACTCTACCTCTTTCTCATTCATTTCTTTCCACATTCCACGTGCATCTCTTGACAACCATCCGCTGACCATCATCTGCCGTCTTCTGGGTGAGTGGACTGGTCCAAATTCCTGCCTCCAATTCTCATCATCGTCCGCTCGGCCGGTTCTCGATCCTGTTTCGGACCCCTCGGTTGCGCCACAGGGGAAAGAGGCAAAAGACAGGGCCACAGCACAGAATTGGGAAACTGAAAAACAACACTCTCCTTCATGCGTGTTCTGCAGTAGCGAGTTCTCTGTTAGCTTCCTTTCTGCTGTTACCTCGCTAGCCTAGTTTGCCGGGGGTTTCAGCCAGCCAAATGGCACTCGACAAGGAGCTTCTTCACCTTCATCTCGGGGATGGCCAACAGCGACCCTACAAGCTCTCCACGGTCGCTACTCCTCCTGATGAAGAGCAGCTCAATCTCGAGCGCACTGATAAGGATGCAGCTGAACCGCCGCAATGTCCACGCTGTGACACCCCCCGTGACGCCCACGGAGAGGTCGCACAGGACGACGCTTCCTCGCTGAGTCGAATTTTCCGCTACACTCCTGTACCGACCATCGTCCTCGACTCATCCCTGCGCGTGATGGAGGTGTCGGAGAGTCACCTTGCTTTCTGCGGAAAGTCTCGAGACTTCATGCTAGGAGCCTCCATCTACGAACTTCCACTCGCCACGATACCTGCGCCAGACATTCCGACTTTGAACGGTGCTTTGCACGTGGCGATTACAACTCGGGCTGTCCAGGTTATCGAAACTATCCACCTTCCCAGAATCAGCTCTTATTTTTCACTGAAAATCACTCCCGTCTTTCAGGGAGATAGCCTGCTGAACCTACTCTTGGAAGCGCACAACGTCACGAGGACGCATAACGAGACGCTACATAATGCCTACATCAATGAGACTTATAAGATCCTGGTTGACACAGTCCGAGATTACGCTATTTTCATGCTGGACTCGCGCGGCAACATTGCCACATGGAATTCGGGCGCCGCGATTATCAAGGGATATAAGGCGAGTGAGATCATCGGTCGGCATTTCTCGATCTTCTACGGACCTGAGGATCGACTAGCGGACAAACCCGGCAAGGAGCTCGAATTGTGCCTCCGGGACGGAAGAGTCGAGGATGAAGGCTGGCGGTATCGTCAGGATGGTTCACGCTTCTGGGCCAACGTAATGATTACACCCATCTTCTCATTCGGTCGGCACGTTGGTTTCGTCAAAGTCACGCGCGACTTGACCGAGCGCAAAGCGGCTGAAGCGCGGATGGTCGCAGCCTTTGAGGAATCATCCAAGATGAAGAGCGACTTCCTGGCCAATATGAGCCATGAGATTCGGACTCCCATGAATGGAATGCACCTGGCATTGACCATGTTGGGGAGCACGGAGCTCAACGCTCAGCAACGTGAATACACGTCCATCATCGAGGATTCCATGTCGATTTTGCTTCAAGTAATCAACGACGTCCTTGATTATTCCAAATTATCCTCCGGCACCTTCTCTCTGAACACGGATGTCTTGAGCGTCGAGAATATCGTGGGAGCAGTGGTACGGAATTGCAAGGCCTTGAATCCTGCTGTGGAGATCACCTGCTGCATGCCCCCCGGCTTCCCAAAACTGCTCCGGGGTGATCCGCTTCGGTATCGGCAAGTAATTCAGAATCTCGTGGGTAATGCGATGAAGTTTACCGAGAAAGGACATGTCAAGGTCACCCATAGCTTCGCAGTAGACGAGCACAATTCCAATATGTACACAATCACGACAGAAGTCACTGATACTGGCATCGGAGTGCCCGAAGATGCCATCAACACCCTTTTTACCCCATTCACGCGGTTCGCGGACTCGTCCACCAAGCGCTATCAGGGTACAGGACTTGGCTTGTCCATCTGCAAGAGCTTGGCAGAGTTGATGGATGGCAGTGTTGGTTATAAACCCAACCCAGAAGGAAAGGGTAGCTGCTTTTTTCTGACCGCTCGCATGTTGGGTGTCGACGTTCCGGCGCATAATAAGAGCGCCGTCCCTGCTACCGCCGAAAATACATACGAACCCATAGAAGAAGTCAAGCGGATTGCTCCCCACATGCACATATTGCTGGTGGAAGATAATATGGTGAACCAAATCGTCATGCTGAAGCTCCTCAAAAGCCTCGGTTTCGAACGTGTCGACACGGCCTGGGACGGCGCGGACGCAGTCCGACAGGTGAAGCAAACACCTCTCTCCTACAATGCAATTCTCATGGACATCAACATGCCAGTTATGAATGGACTCGAGGCAACGACCAAGATTCGTGAAGTGAACAATGAAGTGCCGATTATAGCACTCACCGGGAACGCGCTCAAGGGAGACGCGGAGACATACCTTGCCAGGGGCATGAATGATTACGTCGCCAAACCGGTTCATCGCAAGCGGCTTGTGCAGTTGTTGTGGAAGTGGCTCGGTTCGTGAGCAACTATTCCTCTGGCCTGGCTGGCCGAAGGTTCCTCCCTTGGGACACGATCTGATTGTCCTTTTATAACTCAGAATGGGATCGGCTGCTCCATCCTGTTTCCCGCATCCAATCTATGATTACTCTCGCCCTCAAGTGAGCGGGGTATCGCTCATACCATGCGAGGTTCTAGATTCGGTCAGCGTTTGACCTATTCGGCTAATGGATCCTCCATATCCTCATCAATCGCCGAGAAATAATGGCTCTGGGTCATTAGATGGATATCAGCTCTCGACGGGGTTTTCGCGTCCTCACACGTTGACCATTGACACCCTACATACTCTACTCTTTCGTCATTTGCCTCCTGATTACAGGCTCGCCATTGATCATTCTCCCATCATAATACGGTGGATCGTCTCAAGAGATGGATTCAATTGTCGGACTGTCGGGTTGATTGTCCGGCTGGGGTAACGCAGTAGTTTGGACAGATTTGACTGACGGTCAGAGAGATATATGGAACGAGACTGTATCCTCATGACAGGGATGTACGGCTGGCGAGCTATTGTGCTAGACCGACGATACTATGAGTCGTTGTCTATCAAGCCGCTACCCAAGTTGGCTTTATCCATGTAGCACGATTTGATGGCATTTAATGGTGACATGAATTGATGAATATCATTCCGCATTTAATCCATTCGGTGTAGCTTTCCAGACTTTGTATGGTATTTTGTCGAGTATCACACGACACCGCGGGTGTTCCAACATTTTGCATCTGCTGAGATTAGGCTCTCCACAATTCTGACTATGGCAGTGACCGCATCCCGATGAACCCCAATCCTACCCCATCCGAACACACTGCTCCTCAAATCAGAGCGCCCGTCCTTGTAGTGCTTCGACCGTCACTGATTATCAAGTCGATCTTTACCTATTTGCGCCTGGATGCGGACTAGATCGGCGGTGGGGTTGAGCTAAAGCTCAACCCCAGAAGTTAGAACCCCCTGAACTGCAGTATCAATTGGAGTGTTGGGTTGCTCGGCGAGAACTTGTTTATGCTTTGCGCGTGCTTCTCCATGGCTTATCTTCGCGGCCGCTGTATACCGAGGCTATACTTACAAGACGGTCAATGCCGCATATCCCATTCAAGTCAAACAGCCTTTTTGCAAACCAGAGCGTCCTGCATCGTGTCGGTGCGCAAAATGTGAACCTGATCGCCAGTCTTCTAACTCGTTGAAGATATGAAGATCGTGGTTGTGGGTTCTTCACATGAGTGTTCGGGCAAGTCTCCCGAGGCACGCAAACAGCTGCGCTGGTAACCGACTGCATCTTCACTTACAGTCTGGCTTGTTGCTCGGATAATTGAAGGGCGGGTTGTAATAAGCTTCAGCTAGCCTTCATTCCCCGCTGCGGTACAACGCCATGAACGGGTGAAGGAATGCGGTTTCACACATCCAATCCAGGTAGGACACAATCCCTGCTCTATGTAGATCGATATGACAACAGAAGCTGATCCTCAACCTTAGCATGTGCTCCCTTCTGTTAGCTCCGCTCTGTGGCCGTGCTATGCTCCACTGCAACGTCCCATCATGATAGGCAACACCAGGGTCTAATCCGTGATGGGCATGATATGCGAGTCGTGCGGGGGTTGTCGATCAGGAGAGATGGGCTCTGGAGATTATATAAAGCGGTTCGCAGGCCGTCTTGCTGGGTACACACAAGCTGGGCTTGCACTCAATAATGCGATTCTCACACGTACTCCTGGGAGCTGCAGCTGCAGCCGGCGTGCTCGCTAGTCCCACCCCGAACGACTATGTCGTGCATGAACGTCGTGCTGTCCTACCCCGCTCCTGGACGGAGGGGAAGAGACTGGACAAGGCCACTACGCTGCCTATGAGGATTGGTCTCACGCAGTCGAACCTAGACCGTGGCCATGACTTGTTGATGCAGGTGTATGTGATTTGACTAAACTTTGGTGTATTCGCCGTTGACGAAAGGTAGATCCGATCCTCGCTCGTCTCGCTACGGACAGCATTTCACCGTCGAAGAGGTTCACGATCTCTTTGCTCCAAGCCAGGAAACCGTCGATCATGTTCGAACATGGCTTGAGTCTGAGGGCATATCCGCCGACCGCATCTCGCAGGCTGCCAATAAACAGTGGCTTCAATTTGACGCGAGCGTAGCAGAAGCCGAGCGGCTACTCAGCACTGAGTATCGTATGTATGCACACGAGGGCTCAGGAAAGTCGCACATTGCTTGCCGGGAGTACGTGTTGGCCTTGTCTCTGAGTGATAAGCATGCTGATCATGCAGGTACCATGTCCCTCAGTCAGTGCAACGGCACATCGACTACATCACACCTGGCATCAAGTTACTAGAGGTTGAAGGAGTCAAGAGAGCTCGGAGCACTGAAAAGCGTTCATTGGGAATCCCGCTGCCGCCGATTCTTGAGCCGCTGACACTGCCGTTGTCTGAGTTGCTGGGTGATAATACATTACTATGTGATTTGGCAGTCACACCCGCTTGTATTTCAGGTAAGGTATGCTCACCGTCACAGTGTATGACCTATCTAACATAAGGTAACTAGTGATGTATAATATTACCAAAGGCACAAAGGCCACCAAGGGGAATGAATTGGGTATTTTTGAGGATCTAGGGGATGTCTATAGCCAAGAGGATCTCGACCTGTTCTTTTCAACTTTTGCACAGTATGTTTGTCCCTGCTGTGTCCTTTCGCTGCTGACGCGTCTAGGCAAATTCCCCAGGGCACTCACCCCATCCTGAAGGCCGTCGACGGCGCTCAAGCCCCAGCCAGCGTGTCCAACGCAGGCCCGGAATCCGACTTGGACTTTCAAATTTCGTACCCGATCATCTGGCCGCAGAACTCCATCCTCTTTCAGACTGATGATTCAAATTACGAGGCCAATTACACCTTCAGTGGCTTTCTCAACACTTTCCTCGACGCCATTGACGGATCCTACTGCAGCGAGATCTCCCCTCTAGACCCATCGTACCCGGATCCCGCCAACGGCGGCTACAAAGGTCAACTCCAGTGCGGCGTCTACGAACCCCCCAAGGTCATCTCCATCTCGTACGGCGGCGCCGAGGCCGACCTCCCCATCGCCTACCAGCGCCGCCAGTGCAACGAGTGGATGAAACTCGGTCTGCAGGGCGTCTCCGTCGTCGTCGCATCCGGCGACTCCGGCGTCGAAGGCCGGGGCGGCGACCCAACCCCAAGCAATTGTTTAGGAAACGGTAAAGTCTTCGCTCCGGACTTCCCAGCCACCTGTCCGTACCTCACCGCCGTAGGCGGGACCTACCTCCCCCTCGGCGCCGACCCCCGCAAGGACGAGGAAGTCGCCGTGACCTCGTTCCCCTCCGGCGGCGGCTTCAGCAACATCTACCAGCGCGCAGACTACCAGCAGCAGGCAGTCGACGACTACTTCTCCCGCGCGGATCCCGGGTACCCGTACTACGAGAGCGTGGACAACAGTAGCTTCGCGGCGAACGGCGGCATCTATAACCGGATTGGACGCGCGTACCCGGACGTCGCGGCCATCGGGGACAACGTCGTCATCTTCAACAAGGGCTTGCCTACGCGCATTGGCGGCACCTCGGCCGCTGCGCCGGTGTTTGCGTCGATCCTGACTAGGATTAACGAGGAGCGGCTTGCGGTTGGCAAGTCGACGGTGGGGTTTGTGAACCCTGTGCTGTATGCGCATCCGGAGGTGTTCAATGATATCACGCAGGGGAGTAACCCGGGCTGTGGCACGCAGGGGTTCTCTGCTGCGAAGGGATGGGATCCGGTGACTGGGTTGGGGACTCCGAATTATCCGGCGATGTTGGAGTTGTTCATGAGCCAGCCGTAGCTCTCCACTGGAGGTGATGTGTATAAGTGAGAGATATAGCATGCCCTGGTCTCTAGGGTGTGAGACAGACTATCAATTGAATGTGACCGATACTGAGCGGTTTTTCAAACGTAATTTTTAAGCTTGAGATATACAGTTGTCCACAGCGCCTAGTCAGTGTGACGGCACTATGTGGAAAGTACACCAAGCTGATACAGCAAGGCCAATACGCAGCAAGTTTCTTGCAATGATTGAAGCGTTTCAGTCGATTTACGGGAACAAACATATATGGTTGTCCACGTCCGCACAGATCCGGTCAGGTCCAACTCGGTGAGTAAACAGCGCATTTCACTTGCAAAGGCCCGTTTATTTATTGCGTAGTCATCTCATGGATATCATTTTTATGTACCGCTCTATATCTTCCCAAAAGAACATAAATACATCAATCATCAGGCAAGACATTTAGATAATAACCTTGTGGGTGGCGGGCTTCTCCTCCTCCTCGCCGAAGATGTTGATGTCCCAGCGAGGCTTGTTGGCAGTGTAGGGGATGTTGAAGCGGCGTCTCTCCTTGCCGAGCGCAGACACCCTCTCGACCTCCTCGGGAGTAAGCTCGATCTCCTGGAAGTTGGCGGCGATGCGTGAAGGCGTGACGGACTTCGGGATCACACTGTGGCCACCGACCTGGGACCAGGCGAGGATGACCTGAGCCGGGGAGACTTCCTGGCCGAGTCTCTTGGAGACATCAGCGGCAACCGCCTTGACCTCGTCGCTGGAGATCAGGAGAGGGACACCGATCATGTTGTTACCAAAGGCCTATAGAAATCAGCAAGCTGTTGAAGTGGCAGGCAAAGGTGGCATGGCATACCGAGTAGGCAGTGACATGGATGCCCTTCTCCTTGCAGTAGGCAATCAGCTCGTTGCTCTGCAGACGAGGGTGACGCTCGATCTGGTTGGCAGCGGGAACAACACCAGTGGCCTTGATGAGGGCCACGAGCTGTAGGGTGTGAGTTAGCTGACTCTCAATTCTGCTGCGGTGCGGATCGCTTACATGCTCAACAGTGTGGTTAGAAACACCAACGGCGCGGGCCTTGCTCTTGGGGAGCTTGGTCATGGCCTTCCAAGTATCAACAATGGAAATGCTGTCATCGATTTCGACATCGCCCTCGGGGATAGGACTGTCCTTGACGAGAGGGAAGTACTCGTCGCCGGGCTTGAAGCTAACTGGGAAGTGCACGAGATACAAATCTAAGTAGTCGAGTTCGAGCTCAGCAAGGCAGTCATCGAGAGCCTTCTCGACAGCGTCGGGGTGGTGCTGGCTGTTCCATAGTTTGGAAGTCTGCAATTGTTAGAATGGCGATAAGGCGATTGCGGTGATTGAGCCGAACGTACGATGAAGATGTCCTCACGCTTGAGGCCGGGGATGTCCTGGAAGGCTCTCTTGATACCCTGAGCGACTTCGCGCTGGTTTTGGTAGCTTCGGCTGTCAGCGTATGTTATAGACGGATTCTGGATGATTGTAGAACCTACATAGTCGCGAGATCCTGTACCAAATTAGTGGATTATACTTCGGATAGTGTACTACAGGAGTTATGTACGTACCAGGTGACGGTAACCAGCCTTCAGGGCGTGGTAGACAGCCTCACCGACCTGGCCGGGGGCAGATTGCCAGGTACCGAAACCCAGCTGGCTGTTGGTTCAGGGTCAGTTATTGACTTTCGCACTTCCAACGACGAGACGGGAGCCAAACATACGGGATCTGAGCACCGGTGTTGAGGGTGACCTTCTTTCCGAGAGACATTGTGATGGGAGTGTGGGCTGGACGAGGAGGAATGTGCAGTGAGGGTATCAAAGAGACGCAACTACAGAGAGACAAACGGATGGAAACAGAGAGGAAGAAGAGGATAGAAATAAGGCAAGAGACAGCTTTGGCCTCGGAGTTGCTCCGGTGGACCGGTGGGAACCTTGACGACAGCTGGCCTGCGACAAGATGTGAAAGTGTGGCTTTTGCGCATTCTGGACTCCTAATTCGAAAGCATTGCCAGCGTAATCAGCGAGAAGAATCCTATCATCGTCCTCGAATCGGTAACCCCAACCCCCGCCATGCCCCACTGAGGGGTTCTAAAGTTTTCCAGCGTGGGATGTCGTGTTTCGATGACATATGAGCTCATCTTAGGTTGTTAGGTTGCCATAAGACTAAGAAGAGACTCATCAGTGGCAGCTCTCAGATTAGCCATGGAGATATACCCAGTACATTACTTTAGTCAACTTCCCACCCAGTTGTTTCTTCGACGACAATAATCATTCTCAAGTAGAAATCAGGGGCATCGGCTTTTTGGGGGATCGGGATGATGTCACCACGGCAATCCGAAATTAACCGTGCAGTCCACGTGACCTGCCCGCAGGATAATTTCCCATTCCACTCTCCTTCCTCTTTAGATACGGTCCAATCAGTGCCTCGGCTTTCCCTGGGTCGAGGGTATTCTCGGCCGTTAGCTAACATCGGTTAATTTCAGTCAAATCGTAGCGGACATTATCCATCACTTTTCGAAGAAACAAGGTTTCTACTACGTATATTCAAATGCTTTCAGTTGACGGTCTCACAGAGCTTTGCGAGACACGGTTGTTAGGACAATTACCCAGCTGACGCGGACGGGGGACGGATGCCAGAGAGGATACAAACTACAAATAACTGCATTGATCCACAAGTCCTCAATATGATCACCTCTCACAACATAGCTGATTACCGTTGGATATCTTCCAGCCAGATCATTACTTCCATGCGCTGTCGGCCTGTTAGTAGCAGCCTAGCTATGAGTATCTTCGGGGCCGCTCCGAATTGACGTGAGTTCCCGACGTCATTTGACGGACGCGTAGATACTCGGTCCGCTCGGACCTGGCGATCCGTTCGGGATCATTAAGGACTGAAACCCGTGCACCTCAACACGTCTGTTAGGCTACCTTTCGTAACATACAGCCAGCTTATTTTTGTGGCAGCACGTTGTGCACGTGAGCCCTTGATGTGTACTTCCATCTCCGGCTTCCATCTTAGTTAGTTTGTGGAATCATCGAATACATACGTTTTACCTTGGTATACCTCGCTGCCATATGAGAGTCTGTGGTTATGTAGTCGATACGGGTCTCGATCTGCAGGCTTGCTTTGGCTAAGGACGGCCTTGTAGTATTCCGCGGTTTGATAAGCAGTCTTGATGACTTCCTGGGATAGAAGGATAGATGATGGTTGATGAGATGATGACATCTGTGGTGGCCTGTCTGGCCAGCAAGGGACCCTTGCGTTTGGTCGTAATTCGATGAGGAGAGTGTGGTTGTTCGAGTTCCAAAAAAAGGTTCAGGGGAAGAGGTACTGATTCTGAGGTCTCAGATCGTTACTTGACATGCTACCATTTTTATGGCAGCGCGCGGTATACCAAGGTAAAACGTATGTATTCGATGATTCCACAAACTAACTAAGATGGAAGCCGGAGATGGAAGTACACATCAAGGGCTCACGTGCACAACGTGCTGCCACAAATAACCGAAATCAGTAATCGGATGACAGCATTGGTTTCAACTCTCAAGCGTGAGGCTATGCAGGTATGTTGTTCAGCTCAATGCATACGAAAAGTCACCTGAAGAGAAAAGAGGAACAGCTTTTTCTTGCAGAGAAACATGACATGTTGACCTCGCTCATTGGAGGCCCTATCATCACGTTTTTCCCACTGGATGCATACACCTAGAGTGCATCACAAACTATCCACACTCATCATCCTATATGATCCGAGGCTGCTTCCAGCACATACAACCATAGGGTGTGGAAAACAGGGCTTCCCATCTGCTCAGCTATACTTAGGCCAGTATTATCAACGCGGCTACAAGATTATATGCCCTTGAAGTCTTGCTGCTTTGAAGTAGGAGCTACTAAATTTTAGAGTGTGAGTACGCTAAGTAAAGGTAAGCTCAGGAATACTATCTAGTAGCATAGGTTATGGGATTCAAGATAGGGTTATCTCCTAATCTCATTAACTTTAATATTTATTTTGTCGGGCTTCCCTAACTTGGTTTTAGCCTCTTTAATGATATATGGACCGTGATAGCTCACCTATGTGATGTTGATTTTCTAGCATTGTATCCGTCCCACAGACGTTTGTCTGTGTCGGTCTTGTGGCGCAATGCATTGTTGCAGTGTTGGACAGTCGACCCTAGCGTTGATTATCTGTAACATTATTAATATAGAGGCCTGCATAGTTACGGTGTATTCCTGCTGTTGGCTATTCAAGGGAGTGCCAGCCAGCAGCGACAAGGCCATGTGCATACAGTTCGTGAGAGTCCAGATCTCATCGCTTATATTAACCAGGAACTTGCTCTGGTTTTTGATGGCTCCTGAATTACAGTGGCCGTACATGCTTCCGCTGTTCTTCACTTTGTGTCATCACACACAAATTTCATGAAACCCACATGCCGATCAACTGATAAATTGGCCTGAGTGTGTCACAGGCGCAATACCCTGAACCATCTGGGCGGTAAAACTAAAGCTCATCTTCCCCTTTCCATTACGCATACAGCCTGCAAGCTGCTCGTTGGGTTTGCCAGCACGGCGGTTGTCGTCGCTGTAGAAGATCGAGAAATTATTGCCAATAATCCCTGAAGCTGAACGTCTGTTGATCTGTGACTGTCCCAAATTTGATATCAGACTAATCCAGAATGAGCCTCAGTCATTCTATGACTGTAACGTCCTAAACAGCCTTATATACCTGAGGTGCTTTTAGAAGCAGATGTAAATTCTCGCCGCCCTTTATAATTAGCCTCTACTCTTAGATCAAGGCATCTAAGATATATCTGGGATGGCTAGAATGGGATCAGTCCCATATCTGTAAATATGGCTGATACCACCTACCACAGCTGACGTTTCCAGACCGGGAAGTGTTCATGAGCTTTAATGCTTCCTCAAAAACTATTTTTTGATCTTTGCAAAATTCTAGACTTTTCTCCAGTGTCTCACTCCGATTTGTCCATCGGAACCTCTGATGCTCTTGAGATATCAGAACAATGATTTTCTCCGTGTAACATCCGCTTGCCCTTTGCTTTCATAACCTTCCACTGTAAAAGTGAGCTTGACCACGTCTCAGTTGCCTATGGTCCAGTGAGTCGTTCCAACAAGTACAATGAATCACCACCAGGGAGGTACGCTGACTTCAAGCCGAACATGCCGAACCCGCCATACCGGCTGTTCCGACTACCCGGACATCGAGGTAGATGGTGGATCGGGACTCATGTGCAATACAGAGCTGCGCGGCTCGCTTGTGAAACACATTACCTGATCGACATGTTTTCTACTCTGCATGGTGGATCTCTKGCGCCATTGCTGCAGAAGGCAACGAGGACAGAGCAGTTCTTATCACGGAGACAAGTGTTCTCATTATATCAGATATGGTAGAGTAACTATTGTGATTTGCCGAAGAGTTGCAACGAACAAGAAAAAGACCGAACAAATGATCCCAATTACTATCATATCAGCAAATTAGTCCTTCTCGCTTACCGATCCGCGGCGAATTGATAAAAGCCAAGTACATTCGGTGTAGCTGAATGAGTACACCCGCCTAACCCTTGATTTGTGTCCCAGACGTGGCAGTTGTATCGAAAGAATATTGATGTCTGGACTTCCAGTCGTGCATGATCTCTTCCATCTTGAGCCCTGTGCTGATTTCTTCTTCGCATATGGTAGAGACCAATACATCTGACGCCAGAATACTGCCATCTGTCGTCTCCAGGGTGTACTTCTCGCTTCCAGAGACGTATTTGATCCGCGAGACGGTCCACGGGGACGCGTTTCTCGACGGAATACGGGCTCCGATATTAACATCGGAGGCGAAAGAGAAGCGCATCTGCCCCTGCTGGTCGAGGATGAGCAGACCATGCTGGGGAGTTACTTTGAGAGTGGACATAACCCCATCAGATTGTACTTCGAATTCCATGAAGTCGTAGGTTCCGGACGATCGTAGGTTACGTACAACGCGAGTAGTGGTGAGCTGACCATTCACCAGAGTGAGCACCTCATCTCCAGCGTGTACAGCAGTGATGGAGTTTGTATATAATGTGCCATTGGGTGCGAACATGGTAATGAGGGTATCGTTGGCGAAGCATGCTGGTGGAGCCCACACAAGCGTGGCGCAGGCAACCATGCAGATACCAGTACAGCCAGTGAAGCCGACAGCAATGCCCAGTGGGCCTGCAAATGCCGCAGGACCACCAGCACACTCACAGCAGGCAACCATGCAGGCAGGGAAGCATGCTGCACCAGCAGAGGCTAAGTGGCCTCGAACCAGTAACATCAGTAGTAAGAGCACCACATGGCTCTGGAAATTCTGCTGTAATTTCATTTTGGGCTAGGTGAGTGAGACTTAGAATGTAATAGTTATCTAATTGTTATGTGAGAGTGAGAGAGGGAGTCAGAGCTGAGGGATAGGAGGCCCTTAAATAATCTTAGCAGGCGCATTCACAGAGTAATTAATTATTGCCAACGCCCAGTGATCTGATCCTGCCGACCAGGACCGGCCCGATCAGAATCGGCTTCTCATAGTGATCAGTTATAAAGTAGCTCATGTATGATTCTTTTGATACTGTAATACTGTATGAGATAAACCTGGGCGATACAAGGAAAGCCTGTTTAGGTAATAGCTTGCTCAGTTTGGCTAGTCTGGGGGAGTGCCATCTGTAATTTTGACGCTGCCCATACAGAGCTTGGCACAGATGGGTGGTTGACCTACCGATCAGGACCGGCACAGTCTGGATCAGCCTCTCATAGTGCTAAGTTGTAAAGTAACTCATGTATGGTTATTTCAAGATGTGTATGAAGTGCAGCTGCGCATTACAACTCCAGTGGGGAAGGGGCTGTTTAAGGCAATACCTGGGTAGACTCAGCCAGCCTTGTGGGTTTGACTAACGTCATCACTGGTCAACAATACAAACCAGCATCAGCAGACAATACAACCCCTGCCACGTCGATCCCACCCAGTATTTTGGCCATGGCTGGTACATCTAGAAATCCTGCTGGTATTGCCATCCCCCAGCTATTAGATGCTTTATTCCTGCTCTAACCTTGAGTCAATAGCTTGCGTGCAATGCCACCAGCAGCAAGTAAAATGCGTTCGAAACCCCCAAAACCGATTCAATCAATGCGACAGGTGCTGCAAGCTCAGTAACTCTGGAGGTATAGCTCTACGGTCACCGTGCTCATACTCCAATGAATCATTATGCTTTGTAGCAGCCGACTTTACATTCAAACATGCCCCCTCTCATGGCTTTGAGGAAGAGGCCGACTATGAACCCGCGCCAGCGCTGTATGATAGGGATAAGGACGAGCAAAAATATCGCAAGCAATATTTTTATATCGAACCTCCTTACGAAAGCAACTCAGCGTGGTCTCCTTTGTACGTTCGACGCCAACTACAGCAAATGGATATGTTCGTGTTCCTCTCTTTGGCTCGGTCAATCATTGTGGCTGATTCTTGACACAGTCAGTCTCCATTCTCGCTAGTCCCATTGATGACAGACGGTCAAGAAGTTCCGAACCTGGATCCTCAAGCCTGTAATACGGTCCAGAAAGCCTGGGAGTTGCACAATTCTGTTGTTCCACCCGATATTACGAGACCCAAGTTCATTTGTGGAGAGACCGTTTTGACGTGTCGCAGGATTTGCACGCTATATGTATGAAGAACAAACCATATCATGTATTACTTTCGTCAGTCCTCTAGCTAACCCACAGTCAGGGATATTTGGACCTCGAGCACCCAAAGCCAGGCACCTTTAGATTGATGGACTGGAAACCAGGATTCTATGAGGTTATCTGGAGGGTTCAATTTTTTGACGCCCGTGAGCGACAGGTAGACCGTCTCGAAATCCTGAAGCGCTCTCAGGAACTTTCCCGCCAGGCACAGTTCTGCGGATACCAAGGCTACAAAAATCCAATGCGGTTCCCGACTTGGAATGGTGCTGAAGAAGCATCATATCCACATCGTCCACTATTGAGATTCAGTGTCGGATATGGAAGGTCACCGAGGCAGATTTCCGACTATAGGCTTGACTATCGGCTGGGCCATCCATCATTTGCGGATCAGGTCTTGCTTCAAACGAATGACGACCATCTTCGCTTGGATCACATGGTAGATTCTAAAGAATACTGGAGCAACACAGAGAGTGGCTGGATGAATATCAAGAGTGAGGGGATTTTTGAGTTAGTCCGCGGCCGCAATCCTGTCTTCGTGGTTTCAAATATCGACACCGGCGATTGGCAAGGGGACTTTCGGTTTGGAGGTGTGGAACTAAGACTCGTCTCCGAGGCATCGATACTATCTTGAACACATCAACTCTATGGAACCAAACATGGTCCCTTTTTTGGCGCCGCGGAATACGAATGGAATGGCTGCCCTTGACTTCATAAAGCGATCCACGCCTTGTGTCACGGTGTAGATTCACCATATCTCCTGAAAGGAATGGGACCAGCATCCAGAAACAAGACAGCGACGTGAATAACAACAGCTGGGATATCACCATCCCGCCCCGGTCTTGCTGCAAGCTGCAGCTCCCGAGGTGCGTCTTGTCTATGAACCTGGAGTTAGCCTGACCTATGGCACTCTGAAAGTCAACCATCATGGGATGCTTCTGTATATACCTGCGAGCCCACGCCATGATATTATGCATCTCCCCTGTGGGCCCTACCCCGTATGTGTTGACGGCGTTGACCCCTTTAGATGTTGGACCTCCATAACGTCCAATACTCTCTTGACGCATGCAGCAAAGCCCTCAATGGAGGTTGCAGATTCCGTTGAACTGAGATAGTCGGCCGGATGGCGATGTTGTGCGCGCCCATGCGGTCGAGCGTTTAGCTGTTCTTATCGCGGCTGGTGACGAGACTGGGGTGGATTTCGTCCAGCATGGCCTCTATGGCCGCTTATTCGACGCCCATGCGGCAGATGCAGGCGATTGTGTAGTCAGTGCGGGTGAGATGGAGACTCATTTGAGGAGACAAGGCCATAGTATGCAAGCTATATACGATTCCGGCAAAATATGCATTCATTTACTGTTAATAGACTACCTTAACGTATTTCCAATGATGGAAGGTTATGCTTTCCCATTTTCCACTGATAGACGTAGATTATAAGCATACGGATAAGCGGATGTACAGGACCAGGTCTAGCCTGTAGTAAGAGAGGAAATTGGCTTTATTGGATCTCAAGTTCATATACAAGGGTGAATTATTACACACGATGAGGTATCTTCGACTATGATCTTCTACTCGATTACTTTATACCATCTTGAATCACTTATATAAAGATATCAGGTTAAGAAAGATACCTAATTGCTATAAGGAACATCAGATCACTCAGGATGTTGAATCCTTTCATGCCTTATGGGAGGTACCATAGTTGTCACAGAACGAAAAAACCCATAGAAAATCTCATTCAGGTTCTTCAAGTCTGCAAGAGCATCTGCCTGAGAACCCCGGCCGCCTCATCATAGAATACACTCTGATTCTTCACCGAAGTCCAGCCATTGACATCAATCACAAAGCTCTTTCTGCCCATGCGAATAATATCAAAGCCACAGAGCGCCTGTCCAAAACCAGTCGATATCTTAGCCGCCATCTCCCTCTCCTCACCAGTAAGCTCCGTAGGATCCCTCCGTTCCCGACCATTTGCGTCTCGGAGAACCACCCCAACAACAGCCGGCGAAGGGCGAGTAACCGCAAACGAAAAATAAGGCCCAGGATAAAACCCTACGGTGTAAGCTTTGACATCCTGGCCACCCTCGGCTGTCAATAGCGGTTCGTAGACGTAACTGGTGTCTCCCTCGGTGATGCACCTAGGCACGGTCAAGCACGGGTCGTACTCCGAAGCCTTGTTTCCGATCCTCCGGAATAGCCTCCGTCCACCACCGCCTGGGTAGTAGATATTGATATTGTGGTCCTCAGCGTCAACAGGCTTCTCGACAAAGGGCTTCCGGAGCTCTCTCCCATCAACAACCAGGGTATTGCCATCCTCAGACAAGGATATCACAGGCTTAGTCACGGGACCATGACCGTCAAGCCGTAGCCCAAGCCCAGTCAACCTATCACACTGTCCAAACCTCGGGCCCCCGTCCCGACTGACCTCGAGTCTCTTGGGCGTGCGCACCCCGAGATGAGCCAGGACCGCGTGGCACAGCCGCCGATCCAGCAGGAGGCGCTGCATATGCAGATCGTTCAGCGAGACGCAGGGCCGGAGCTGGGTGTACGCGATTGCCTTGGCCAGCGGGAAGCCATTGGAATAGAAGGCGATGAGCACATCGCAGGGTGGCCATGCCTCCACGCGCTGGTCCTGGAGGACCTGGTCTCCGAATATGACTACTTCAATACCGGCTGTAGACTCCAAGCGGGTGAATATCTCTTGGTTGGCTTTGCTGCGGGCTTTTTCTTCCATTGCGCAGATGCCTAGCCTCAGTTTTTGGCTGAGCGGTTTGTCGGTGCTGTACGTGGGGCGACTTGGTTTGTCCATGCTTATGCGGTCAAAGACATGGCTAATGGCTGCAGGGGTCTCCCTGCTGCTTTCGTGTGCAGAAACCATGATGGACTGCATGTTGGTGCTTCTGTTCAATTCTTGTTTCGCAGTTGATGTTCCCTGAACCAGGTCAGGGTCTCGCTGAGGGGTACGTCGGGATAGGCTGATGCCATCGACAAGACGGATTTGTTATTTGTGCTTGGATACAGCATCAGATGGGGAGATAATATTGATTGTGTGAGAGGTTGTAATTAATTTTTGTAACTTAAGTGAGACAGAGATATCCTGGACAATTTAAGATGCGGGTAGACGTTCACATGGAGAAAAAGTTTGCAACAGAAAATCCCTCAGGGTCCAGGGGCAGTGCTAACTTTTGCTAGCTTCCACACTCTCATCCTTATCCACCCTAGGCAACAGGCAATAACAATAGCAATAAGACCTTACTATGGTCTTCAGGCTGGGGAAATCAGAAATTATCCAATCGCATAGATACTAGGGATCCAAATCAGGGACAGGGCACCTACTTTTCCTCGGGCCAAGTCTTAAATGAGTCAGACTTGACCAATAATAAAGAGAGCCAAGACAGAATTATCTGAAACAGAGTAGCAGTGAATAACATTAATATGCCCTAAACTAATAGGTGAGCCATCATGACTTGGCTGGGGAAGTGCAGTTACTCTGCAACCAGCCTTAGGGAGTAACATGTTCTCGTACAAGCGAGGTCAGATCCAACACACTCAGCATTAACAGCACTCGGTGTTCCCGGCCGAGTCCTCGACGGTAGCTAAGTTATTGTTTTGTTTCATAGCATCCAGTAATTAGGCCCTCTCTAATAAGTGTTGGAGGCCCTTTCCCCGTGTCCAGGGGAGCACGCTATTAATGTATAGGTGTGCTACACTGTTCATGACTTCCATATCCACCGAGGCCACGACCTTGCCATCAAGGTGAGCAAGGTAGAGCACTATATCTGTTTGCGATCGTGCCGCAGCACTTTGCGTGAGGAGGCCGAGCAGATCAGTTAAGCGGCCTATACTTTGGAATCCATCCACTGAGGCTGTGATGAATGCTTCGAGGTCGGAGGGCGAGACTTTCGTCATCTGAATGTGGTTGCCAGAGTTCGCAGGCTCGAGAGCAGGAATGCTGGGGGAGAGGGACATGACGCAGACGTTAATCAACCCCGTTGCTCTGTACCCATTTGCGGTTAGGTGTGATGATGCAGATTGTATGTGTGTGTGGACACAGATTGATTTCCACAGTTGTGGTTGTGTTTCTCTCTTGGCAAAGGTTGTGGAGGGTCTTGAGGCCTGGTGGTGAGACAGGCCAGTTCGTCCCCCAGCCTACGGCGTGGGTGAGTTTGCGTCCATACTCAGGGGACGATATCATGGCCAGGCCTGAGGAGAGAAGATGGGAGGTGAATTTATCTCTGCCATGTAGGCTCTGAAGGAATAACTTCATTTGCAGTCCAGCGACGGTAGTTATAATGGCCAATGTCGTCCTCGAATCTGGCATCTCAACCCAACTCTTAAAGCGCCTGTCAACTTGAATCATATGTCATCAGCAACGACATAGAGTTCATAGCTGTATGGAGTGCGCTTAAGTCACCAAAGGAGGGGTGTATCTAGCATCTCTGGCTTCCACTGAGGTCAAGAGACTGTTCACATTTTGGAACTCAGGGCCGCCATATTAGTTCTGGTGTTAACTTAGTATTAGCAAAAAAGCCCAGATGACTAGAATGGGGTGAGGCTCAGTAAAACTTCTCCAAATGCCTCAAGGGGAAAGAGTGAAAGTGGGAAGAGCGCCATCACAGTTAGACATTCGTGAATACCTCCGTGTCCTTCAAGTCCACATCCACCATCCCGGTCGCGAGCAACAGCTTCACCACTGCCTCGTGGCCAAGCCGCGCAGGCCACCACAATGACKTGCGACCTTCAGAGTCTTTCGTGTTGACATCCACCATCCCAGTCGCAAGTAACAGCTTCACTACTGCCTGATCTCCACCCACCGCTGCAGTAAACAATGGCGTGCAGCCTTGTGCGTCCTTTGCATCCACATCCACCATCCCAGTCGCAAGCAAGAGCTTCACCACTGCCTCGTGTCCAGCCACTGCAGCCCAATGCAACGGTGTGCGCCCGATATTGTCCTTCGAGTCCACCTCCACCTTCCCGGTCGCAAGTAATAGCTTCACCACTGCCTCGTGGCCACGCATCGCAGCCCAAGACATTGGCGTGCGATCGTYGATGTCCTTCAAGTCCACGTCCACACTCTGGGTCGCAAGGAACAGTTTCACCACTTCCTTATGGCCACCAATAGCCGCAGAAGTCAATGGCGTCCTACCATCGCGGTTCCTCAAGTTCACATTAACCTGCCCAGTCTGCAGCAAGAGCTTCACCACTGCCTCGTGTCCATTCCGCGCAGCCCAAGACAATGGTGTCTGCCCGAAAGTGTCCTTTGAGTCCACTTCCACCTTCCCTGTCGCAAGCAAGAGCTTCATCACTGCATGGTGTCCATTCTTCGCCGCTTGGAATAGAGGAGTACTGGCGTCGATACTTAACACTTCTATATTCGCCCCTTCTGAAATGGTCATTTGAGCTGCCGCCTCTACATTCGCGCCTTCAGAAATACTGATTCGAGCCGTCGCCTCACTCCCTCGTTGGGCTGCCCATCGCAGCGCCGAACTTCCGGAGTTCAGCGAATTACGTCGATATAGGTATGGATTAATAAGAGAATAAAACCTCTGGTTGGTTTGGGCCAGTGAGTTGATATCTTTTTCAACCTCCAGAAAACTAGCAACTGAGAGCAACAATTCACCAGGTAAATGATAAAGAGACATGTTCACATTTCCCCCTTTGGCCTTGAAGTCACTGGATCTTGATCGCGAGGAGAATTGGGCTTCGGGCGAGTTGGGTTCTGAAAGATTTTTCGGGAAGTTGGTCCAAAATCATGTCGTTTTTGGGAGCAGCGTGACATGTTGAAATCGTTGACGCAAATATCAGAGGAGGGCAGATTCCTGGACGCGTAAATTCTCGTGTTGTTTTCAAAGAGCTCGTAAATAAGCTTTCTCTGGAGTGGCAGGAGGATGGAGTGCGAACGACAAGGGTCTAAGACTGACTAATTACTTAATCAGGAGCATGTGGCTGCTGCCTAACAGCAGCAACTAGTAGATGATGATGATGATGATGTCATTTACCTTGACCCCTCACTCAGTGATATGCAGGCTACTACAACTATATCTCTGCCCTTATATCTCTATTATGTACAATCCTATTCCTTATAGGTGAGCTTTAAGCCTTGCCTAGGGGCCTGTGTTAGCTATTTGCCCTCAGTTCTGTCCTTGCAGGTCCCTTGGTTCATAGCTAGCAATGTGGTGGAGCAGGTCATGCTAAATGAGGCTAAAACCATGAGATGTGGGGATGTGGGACTCATACAATTTGTTTGTCAGGGCATTTGATACACATATTTCAGAATCACCGGGCGTTCCCTCCACATTATAAGCTCACAAAAACAATGAAATAAAAGTAAGTATAAAGATGAGGTCCATATTAAATATACTAATACTATGTTCATGCTACTTTAGCAGATATAGCTCATTAGGTTACCTAGTTTGTATATGCCTAACAGTTACCTAAGAGGATCTGGTCAAGGCCGTGCGCAGTTCCATTTCTAGCCATTCTTTTATTCTTGCGATGTACTATTCATGGTACTCCTTCCCAAAAATGTGCGGAGGCAGTGTGGTCATGAGAGGACATTCAGGCCAGCAAGCAACATCCCCTTCTATGCGCTGATGGCTGAGTCAACTTTAAAGCGCCCCTTGGTGGCCTTGTTTATGAGTCTTGACAGACTCATGACTGAGGAAGAAGGACGGGATGACTGGTCGGATGCTAATTTCAGAGATGTAACATGGAAAATTACTCCCACGGCCTTCGCTGTAGCGAAGGATATGAAATTATTCGTTCAGACGGCAATCGCGCAGTTCCCACATCTGCTTGCCAAACGTGGCCGACCTCTTCTGCACTTTACCGCCTGGGCTGGAGGTGGCGGGGAAACAAATACTGAGATGGAGATTCTACTGGATGCTGGAGTCCAAGTAAATGGGATATTCGAGGAGGAGCGTTGCACAAAGAAAGCCTCGAAAGCGTAGTCTACGGCCGATGCGACGAATCCGGCAGAGAGCACGTTGATTATGTCGAATTACTCGTCAGCCGCGGCGCGGAGCTACCTGGAACGATACTACTTTCGGACAGATGGGAAACTGTCCTGCACGCAGTAGTTGGTATGTCGATACTTTGGTCTGCAAAGTTCGGATTGATCTGTTGCTTCGTCAGTGAAGACGTGTCTCTTAATAGCAAGTGCAGCAAGGGGAGCACCCTATTCGGTAAGATTGTTCGGGAAGATTTGGACGTACCAACGGACGACTACCTGTGGATGCTCAACCATGGCGGCAAGATCACCAGTGAGGCCTTGGATACGAAGAACCATTTCGACCATCCATGACTAGGAAAGTCTAATTTGTCATCTGATTCTCGACTGGTCTCTGTGGACCACCCTCTACGGCATATTAGTTGCCGGGAAAGGACATTCTACGACAACAAGGCAGCGAGGTTGGGTAGACGATATAACCCGCATTGGCCCAGTAACAGACATTTCCCTCGGCTGGACTTGAAACGAATACCGTCTCGGAGCGGATTTCCCCAAGTACTTGTTCAATTTCACTGAGCTAAAAGTCCTCCACGCTTTGCCTGACGATTTCCATCTTAGTTGAGTTGATGATGTCAGAAATCCTTCTATCGCTGTGCAGTTAATAAGTATTTGATCATCTAGGACACAAGTCGACGGCATTTGGGAAAGACCTGAGATACTAGCCACTGGATGAACAATGATCTCCAATTAGATATATGTATATGATTAGCTGTACATGATAAATACAACAAAGCTCTTCCAATGCAAAGACGCCATCTATAATGCAAACATAACGAGACAAAATGCTTTTTAAAGTCGTCTGGGCTACCCTTCGCAAGCTCTCCAACACAAAGTTAAAATTGTAGCCAACGCGGCGTCGGCAGCAAACCTTAACTTGAAGTCTACATTGAATACATTGATCAGTAGGAACTGAATTAACTCTGAGAAATCTCCTTCAAGGGCTAGAGTACTAGCTAATTCCGTTAGTAAGTCTATGGACACTTTGTGAGCGTGGTTATTGTTATAGTATTGCAGGGGCGCGTAGACATAGGTCCTGTAAGCGGGTGTGTACTAATATACCTCTTAAAACGCCTTAAATTGTTTCTCCCTATCCCCTAGATGCACATAGATCTTCCCCATATATTCTAGGTACTCATAAAGCTGCGTGTTTAATAATGTATCCTCTAGAAACTCTGTGATCATCTTCAATAAACTTTGTTAAGTTCTTTCCCAGAGTTTAGTGTATTTCTGCCAGTTATCTTACTCCTAATATGTCTCTGTGGTCTTTCGCAGTGTCTACTATTCATCTAGATTGAGTTCTCTCACCTTTCCATAATACTACAGGGCCTCCTTAGGGTGCTGTTAAGGCTACGGCGGATTATAAAGCCGCCGTATGCAGCCAACGCAGATAGTGCGGACTACTAGATCATGTGATACACTGAAGATATCTCCGCAAGTTGCTGAGTATTCCGCAACTCAGCGATTAGCTCCTCATTGCTTAGGCAATACTGTTGGTTGACCCCGGTGGTTTTGTTAGTACGGTGGGTCTTTGCAATGAACGAATCATATTGATTCTGCCGCTATCCTAGTAATTATCTAATATTTCGTATGACCTCCTTCTGCGTTGATTACTGCCTGACATCTAGCTGGCATAGATTCGATTAGATCCCTAAGAAAATCCTCAGGGATGGCATCCCAGGCAGCTCGAACTATCTGTCGTAGAGCATCATATGTTGGTTGGTGGTCCTCATCTGGATATTTTGCTTGGATCCAGTCCTTCATCCAATTCCATACCACCTYAATTGGATTCAGATCAGGGGAGAAAGCTGGCCATCTAACTAGATAGATTCCACGCTCATGAAGCTCATTAAGTGAACCAGAATGGCCAGGTGCACCGTCTTGCATTAGCTGGAGCCAGTTATCTTGCCATCTAAGCAGGCGAAGATATCTATTAATTATAGGAACCACCCTCTCAGTATATCATTCTGCATTAATTGTACCCCATTCTTTCTCCCAGAATAGACATAGTCCTTTAGTAGAACCATGAAATAAGCCCCAAAACATCCATCCGCGTCTTTTAGGAGGAGAGGTGCGAAGACATGTCTCCTCTAGCTCTTCACCAGCCTTCCTAGTCACGTAGATTCATTTATGGAAGCCTGATGTAACCCATATCTCATCAGACCAAAGAATCTGGTTCCATTGCTCTGTTGTCCAGTTCACATGCTCTAACGCCCAGGCAAGACGTACACGCTTATTCTGGTCAGATAAAGGAGGTTTTCGAAGAGCAATACAGCGAGTATAACCTTGTTTCTTTAACGCACAAGCAAGGGCGGTTGGTCCAACAGGTAGATCAAGTTCTTGACAGAGTTTATGGAAAGGTAAGCGGCGATTCTGCTTAGAGGAAGAGATAAATACTATAATATCATTAATATCTTCCTCAGAGAGCTTTGGCGGCTGCCCAGGAGCCTTCCTAGGTGTCATCTGCTGGTTTTAACAGGTATACTGAACCTGGCGGTGCGTGATTTGAAGCTGATCTGCAATCTGTTGATAGGTAAAGCCAGCATCTCGGAGGGTAAGAACACGGATTCGATCATCACAGCTAAGGCGTATAGAATTACCCCTCTGCTCAGCTGCCTGCTGAGGGGGGGTGCTAGGTTCAGGGGTAGGCATGGCATGTTGATTGCTCACTAGGTTCACTAAGATAGGAGGTCTTATTAGCTTCATATAATACTAATTAGGAAGGCGGTAATAGATACTAGAAGGATTCAAATCCCTGCAAGGCCCACCGTACTAACAAAACCACCGGGGTCAACCACAGTATACGGTTATCTTGCTCCCTTCACGCTGATCTTACCAGTTGACCTCGAACCTTGAATGGCCGACCTCACAGGTGCCCTGTCTGGCGCAGAGTAATTACACATCATTGAAACTACTAACTAGTCTTCTTGAAGTCATTAAATTTAGTAGCCTTAACTATTGCTTCTGCTATTATACCTCTGTTATAATCATGGGACTCCTCAGCCTTAATTAGTATCTGATAGCGCCAGAAAATAGAGGCTATGGGAATGAGATTAGGCAGGTCTTCCCATGGCCATCTCTTGATGCAGAAAATTCCTATTAGTTTAAATAAGTTAACTAGCTCATCCTCTGTTATTAAGATAAACTTTTTTTCTTCTAGGGATAGAAACTTAATGATATCTTGCTCTTGCCACTATTGTTAGACAGTGTTAATAGTAGCTAGAGGAAGAGCCTAATGGTATTCCCTAAGCCAGGTTAATACTAATTCTTCTAATTAAATGCGGTTAATAGCACCTTTGTGATCTCTCTTTTATCCTCTAATGAGCACTCAGACGGGGAGATAGTAAGTGATGACCCTAGTGCTATGCAGTATATTAGAGCATGTGCCCTGAGTCACTAGCCTTTGTAGGCTTTGTTATAAATCCAGGATGGGTGATTAGTCTTAAGCTAGTCTTTAGGACATGGGCTTTGGCTTCATGCTAATTCACCCTAATAGCAATGTGGCCCTTCTTCGCTAACACCTTGCCCTCTGACTTGTTTTAGAAGAAGTTGCTAACAGATGTATGGCAGAAGGTGATAGTAGTTATTTCCTTTTTTAAGCTGAAGACCATGAAGAAATCTATGTCCTTAAAAGTCACATCAGACCTTGTTTCTCCTTGTCGGTGGACTAGTCAAGTGTGCTTAGGTTTGTTAATCTATTCTCTAGCTTAGCTGTTGTAAGTCCATCCTCTCAGTGTAAGGTGAAGAATAACGCTTACTGGCACTGTAGGGCCCCTTTAAGGTTATCTACCATCCTGTTCAGGTGATTTTACTCTGCGGATGGCCTCTATATCTATTAACCCCCACACCTGATGATCCGCGTAGGTGACCTAGAATAATAATTTACTAGGGTACTCAAGCTCTACCTTGTCAGAGCTTTCAGAGAGACTGGCTAGCATGTGTTAAAGTATCTGCTTAAGCCTCTGGGGAGCCTGCTTCAGTGCCTTCTATGTACTAGTCTCATTCTGTTTCTTAACAAACTCCTATAGCATGAGATTTACCTAAAGGAACATGCCTCCCGCCCTAACTGTTAGCATTAACAGGTTGTATCCCATAGGTTAGCTGACACCCTTTGCAGAACCAGGGACTTTTTAATGCTGGCATAGATATACACTAATATCGACTGGTCAAGCACGCTAGTGGACTAGAGCCTTCTTGTGAAGTCAAGACCGCATATTTCCATTAGAGAAGGGATTTGATTGGGAATATGAGTGATGACCATGATATGGCATGCCAGAAGCCTGTAAGCCTGAAAGGCAAAGAGATACAACTGAGCCGATAGCGATTACTGTCGGCATCCTTCATATTGTCCGCTCTATACGGGAATGTCTTATTTTGTGGAAAACCACATGGTTACTGCCCAAGACAACAATGACTATGTTACAGGAAATATGAACTCATTTGTAACTGCTGTCCAGTTGTTATAGAAACCAGCACGTCAGCACGAACAATAACAAGATATAGAGCAAAGAGCTTCCCAGTTGTTCAGCTGTAGTTCATACAATCAATTTGCAGCCCTAGACCCCCCCTTTTTTTTTTAGTATAGATCCAGGATTCAAGTAGGGATTGGTATAAGTATAAGAACACAATTTCCATCTCCAAGCACCAAGATTATGTGTTAATGAATCTTAACTAAAATCACACGATTAGTTTGCCACTTTTCTGGATTTTCGAAGATCATATACAATTATATGCGGCAGTATACATAACCCGAACACTGTCTTGTTATTTTAAGACTCGCCCTGTTCCAGCAAGCCCTAGCCATTGTCACTAGATACCTTATCAATACTATGCTCTAACATTTATCTCAGGTTGCAGCGACAAGACATTTACGTGATAATGATGTCAAATCACCTTGTGTCAATACGACTAACTTACCCTTGAATAGACTCTCAGGCCTGAAGGATCATGAAGGAAAGAGCTCGCGTAGGATGAAAGTGCCCTAGTTTATATGTTTATATATCCCTACGTGGGACCTACACACAGGCAACTTCTCCATATGAACAGCTTTCAGGTCTAGGGTCGATCATTGCATATGGCGTGTCCCTATGCATCTGATGTGAATGCAGCCGAGAACTGTATAGCATTCGTATTGACTAATGAGGCGCCATCCCCAATAGCGATGCAGCTGCGCACTAGCACCCCACGCGGTTTGTCCTCCTCCCAATAACTAGCTCTGACGAGTGACTGTCAAGACTTCAAGGGTTTCGCATTGACGTGTCCGGTGGAAACCTGATATTTTCAACTTCCTGCAACATCTGCTCCAAGGCTCCAATCACTTGCGCATAAGTAAACAGATCAACATGCTCATTATGCGCCTGCACAAAAGGCGCTGCTGCGCGATCGATCGCATCTCTAGCCCAGTTGCGTATCCGTTGCTCAGTGGTGGCAAGATAGTCGGTCAGCCACTCATTCCACCAAGCAGCGAAATTAGGTATCCCACTACGGCGTTCTATATAAGTAGCCTGGAGATAGATCTGCTGCCGCACAGCATTAAAGCGAACCGCCGCCTGCGCATCGTTGAGGTATTCGAACACAGCAAAGGTCTGAGAAGAGTCACTCAGCGCTGAACAGGGTATAAAATGGAGAGGACATGTTGATATGGTTGGAAGGCTAGTCCACTTACTACTCGAATTGACTGTAGGAGGCTATCAACATCGCCCTGTGAATCGCTCATGACGGCGTTTCTCGCTAGCGTGTCGACCCTAGTCAAGGTGCAAGGCACACTTCCTTTCATAATTCGGCCCTTGGCCCCGTTGATGTCCCTACCCACTCCTATGAAGGGATACGGGTAGTTTTCCGACCCGAATGCCTCCATAAAGCGATCGTTCGGCGTATTTGGCCGGATTCCACGGGGGCCCCCAACCGGGGGTTCGTTAGCCAGTGCATCGTTATCTGCTAACCAGACGTCTCTGAGGAGCTGGGCATCAATTCTAGGCAGTGATGCTCTCTGCCCGGACTGGAGGACCCCGGTAACAGTTGAATCGAGGAAGTACATTGCGAGTTGTCGATCAATCGGATGCTCTGCTTCCAAGTCTGATAAGGCCGAGGGAGGAACTTCGTGTTCATTTGCAAAAGTGCCCGAGTTGATAGAGGGACCGACACAGTATCCTGGGATGAGCCGGAACCACCGTCGCAAGATTTGGTAGAGTTCCGGAAACTCGTTATACAACACACGGAGGGCCGGATATGCCCAAGCTATGACCCTGACTCCGGTAATATGCTTTGGATAGTAGATCTCGGCATTGCCGCGTTTTTCGAGCGACTGGTCTTTCCCACTTCTTCCAAGGAGTGTTAAGTCCCGCTTTGTCCAGTCGTTTGCACCTTCATCATTATCGCCAGTAGAACAGTAACCCGGAAACTTCTTACACAGATCAGTGCTGCAGGTGGCTGGCTTAGGCGGCGCGGTCTTGATAGTACAACACATGGCTTTTTGTCGACCCCCTATAGTCATCAAGGTCGAAGTTAGCACACTGATATCCACTGTCTCCTCCAGCCTCTCTTTGCTCAGGTCCCATTAGTCAGGTCGAGTTGTCTGAACGTACAGTCACACCCTTTGGACTGGTCTCCGTACGTTGCCCTGTCGACCTCAACTTCTGTCGCATTGCAGTTCGCATTGGCGCAGTCTGCACCCGAGCTGCCGCTTTCCCAGTGGCAGCCTGTCAGTTCGACTGGATTGGAACAACAGTAACTCTGACCGCCGAACCAACAATTATCATAATTTTTGAAAGCCTCGGATTTGCCAGACGGGCAGGAGGCTCGACTGGGAGTTGTCCAAATCATGTTAGATATTTCGTGCCTCAAACGTTTGAAAGAGGACGTACCATTTTGCATAAGAGCATCCTTTAGTCACAGATGCGTAATCAGGATCTGAGCAACAAAACACCTTATATCCTCTACCACATTTATCGGTGCCACCATCGTTCACAAACCCGCCGCCCCACGAAGATCGGATTCCTTTGATATTGATTTCACCAGGCCTACACTGGGCACTGCAGTCGGCACCGGCGCCCCCGCCGTTGTCGTCGCCGCGCCATATACAGGACTTTGGAGCGCTATTTGTGGGACAGCACACTGGCTTTCCACAATGCTGTTTGGAGCTCAGTCAGCCATTGAACGACCCTCGGTTTGCAAGAGGCGCTTACACAGTTCCTCTTGCCGCAGCCGGCATCATCCCAGCCCACGACGGTGTAGCCCGATCCACAAGCATTAGACATGGCCTTATTGTCGTTAAGATTAACGCACTTGCCGCTGTACACAAAACATTTCTGACCATTCGAACCTGCTAGATCCTCCACGACAGCCACTGGATTAGATAGCGCCTTGTTTACAGCTTGGAGAGATGGATTCGACTGAATTGTCTTGTCAAGTAAGGCTCCATGAGCTGTGTACTTGTCCGTGTCTAGTCCCATAGTCAGCAAAATGGAATTTCAGAACGACACGGACACGCCAACCAAGGTCTGACGCCCAAATCATTCCACCGCCGAGACCAACGCTATCGGCCCAGTCGACTTTCTGCTTGAAAGTTGTTGCATCGTCGTAAGAGACCCACTGGTTTTGATGAAACGTAAAATAGTTGACTGCCGCTGCTTTATCATGCGTAGGGCTGATAGTGGCTCTTTTAGACGAGCTTGTAGACCCATCGAGTGCAGCCATGATCTCGTAGTAGGCAAGAATCCCCCCAGTGTCCGAACAAGGGCCCGGTTTTGACGCGCCACTGAAGGGGCAGCCCGGAGCAGTACAAGCAGGGTCAGACAGAGTGAACGACCGGCCGTAAAAGCCGAATCCCATAACGAGCTTGGACGGCGGGATATTAACGCGCCAGAATAGGTCAGTTGCTAATTTGATTTCGGTCAAGTTTGTATGAGCCTGGACGATGCTTCCGATTGGATTAGTAGCATCCCATGCCCCGTGGAGGTCGTAGCTCATAAGATTAATCCAATCTGCATATTTGATCATGTTCGGTAGGTCGAACCAGCGCAGGTACCAATATGAGGATGGTGCCGTGAAGGTAAGGCCATAAGTACTTCCGCTGGCGTCAAATGTCTCTCGCATGGTTTTGAGAAGCAGGACGTAATTTTCTGTATCCTCGGGGTTGCCGCGTCTATCGGGAGCAGCAGGGTACTCCCAGTCAATATCAACACCACCGAACCCTATTGTCGTAGTTAGGCCTTGTGGTCTATGAAGCAGAAGGGCACCGCGATCCTTCCACTGCCACATACCGTACTGCTTCATGAAATAAACAACATTATCGGCGAATCTTTGCCGCTTCGTAGCATCGGCTGCGATCTGACCAAATAGCGGCTGCGTTGAAGTGTCATTGTCCGAAAACGTCCTATGATATAGTTGAACTCGAAACTGACGGGTCGTCGGATAGGGAGTCTTTCCACTTACCACCCACCGATACTAACAAAGACTTTGATATCCTGCTTGATTGATTTGAGGTTCGTAGTTTCCTGGAACAAGGTTGCAGGAGTGGATCCGTCCATTGTCACCACTTGATATGTGCTTGGTTCGATGTACGCAAAAGCAAAATTCACACTGAGATATCAATAAGACACTGTTGAAATCCCGGCTCTGCCGTTGGAAATGGGGCATAAATACTGCGTCAATGCGTCTAATGGTAAATCTGTTGGGGACACCTTGTGGCATGCCTTGCGAGCAGACCACGATTCATAATACCCGATCATCTTGTTCTGACGGATACCAACAGAAGCGCCACCGACTGGAGGTTTTGGGTTCAGAACGCAGTTGCTTTGACAATTTTCTGTTGCAAGTCAGTAAAGTCCGGCTGCGTAAGTAACCATTCCCAGCAGGCGTTACATACCCCCACAGAAGTCCTCGGTTGTGCCACACTAGAACATAATTTCAGCGTCATGTTCAGATTATTATCCTTTCACCGGTGTTAGGGGCCACTTACAAATCCGTACTGGCTGCAGCAAACATTCAGAGGACATCGCTTTCCTGGGCTTTCTGCGAACTGGCCGCACTCAGCCTTTGCGTCACAGTTCGACACACATCCGACGCCGCAGTAAGTCGGGCCATATCCACAATAGCCACTTTTCCCACAGCATGCACCGTTGCTACATGGATTACCTGGGCCACATTGATAACTGTCTCGTGGTCTCAAAGTGGTGTTCGCCGTAAGACTGGTTTCTTCTTCAGAGACGCTATCGGACCGACCGGTTACCTTGATAATGGGAGGTTTCGATCGGCCTGACCAAGAATAGGCTGAAACCAGAATTAAGACTGAAAAGAGAGCCCATATCTTGCTTCTAGGCAATATTTTCCTATTATAGTGGTTATCGGCCATGACCAGCGGATGTTTCTGCGAAGTTATAATACAAGATTGGGTTCAGTAACGAACAACCGAACAAAAGTGTCGAGAGGGGTGATGTTGGACACTAGCTCTCTCAACTTCATATCTTGGATTGTAAGGCTAGTATATACATCCACCCTCCCCAGTGGACTGGTAATTTGAACGCCCTGCTCAACCCCGCCCCTGTTAGCGTTTTGCTGGTTTAGATTGAGAGGAACCGGGGCTGTATCTGTCATCATCAGAAAGACGACTGACCAGATGGGCCTTGAGGGAATTTCTTGACGGTGATTCCTGCCTATCACGGTATGCCAGTGTTGATCAGTATCAATTATGACTTCAGTCTGCCAAACCGCTAACCTGTTGATCTCCTTGGATGACATCCTGGAGACGGGCACCTGGGCTAGATGTCGGCCATGTTTCTGCCTTGGGAAAGTGGTCGCAAAAGTCTGTACAACCGACCCCGACGAGGGATCACTAGGTAGTATGAGTATTTCCTGAAACCTGTATGAATCCCTGCACGCAGCAAATCACTGTGGGGCATTTTCCAGCTTGCCTCCTCTCAGGAACTATCCCCTGCACAGCTACATTACATCTCAGCGGCAACTAAGTTTGCCAGCCATCTGTTCATGGCAGGGCATGATCCTTGGCAGAGACGCGATTCAAAGCAGGTCGCGGATTCGAGATCAACACAACCCCACTCACAACCCCCCACCCGAGTGACTCGATATGCACCTGAGACAAGCAACGCGAGACCGCCCCGAGTGGTGATCTCGAACTTACAGGGACGCTACTTCAACATCTCGGTCATGTCCCGCTTCAAACATGTCTCAATGCATGCATGAAGAGGAGGCTAAGATTTCTGAGCATAAGCGGTCTTGCATTAGCCCGAGCTCACCAATCTCTGCTCTGCTATTTCCTTCCCGTCGTGAGAATTGCATGTGAGGTATATGTGAACAGTCCCCCATTATCCCTCATAGCTCACATAGAATCAAAAGCAGTCCAAAATACGGTAACTGTCTTGCTAGCACAGCCAGTCAACTACAACCATATCAGCAATAGATCAGGTTCCGCAATGGCAACTTTGCAAACCAGGACTCTTTTCGTGGCACTCGGGATGCTTCCTTTGAGACATTTATGGGGACAACAGCTTTCTGGGGCAGAGACATTCATGAAGTATCCTGGCCTTAGCACTGCGTGTCTAGGTGCCTTGAATACAAACGTTACATGTCCGCCATTTTTGAGCCCGGTTGCTGCAAGGTAGGCAGATTCATGCTCCTCTGGTAATACTGGCCATCTGACACTCCATGCAGCGGAGAAATCTTGGGTTCTGATCAGGTCACTGAGCTTTGCGTCGACTCCTGCTATTCTTCCCTGGTAGCCGCTCGAAATACTATTCAAGATGCTTGCACGGCCGCTACCGATATCATTGTATATGACAACATCGCATATCCAGGTATAGACTTCCATTTCTTGCGCTAACCTTAGACTTGAAACACATGTACTTATTAAGATGCAACCCAGCGACATTTATCGTTGATAATTATTTGTATACGTATAACCTTTCATGCAGAACCGACAGGTCAGTGGTCACAGCCAAAAGCTCCCTCATTTCTCCCAGTTGATTTGATTCCTTAGCATCACTGGTGAATTCTGCGACCCGCAAATCCTGTCGTGGTCTACTCAGCCATACCTCAACACTACCCAAGCTTGTTCAGATTGCTGGCTTGGGAACCGGGCTATTCAGTTAAGTAATCCGCTGGGTTATGATGCTGACCTCGCAAGCAACTTCGCCGTATTAGTATCCAGTTGCAGTGCTACCCGCAGTTATACGACAACGTCTCCCACGCAGTATGCTCTCAACTCTAGTATCACTGGGACAGCGACAGCGACCACAACTCAGCCAGCAACATGCACCGGTTCTTATACAGTGAAGAGCACAGATGACTGCAACTCTGTGGCACTTTCCCTCAACGTTTCGACCTATAATCTTCTATACGTGAATGGTTTGGATCTGTACTGTCAAAACTTTGCCGCCGCTGTTAACTCCACCCTTTGCATGCCGCCTCAATGCAATACATATATTTGGCAAGCATCGGACTCGTGTGATAGCGTTGCTAGAAGTATTACCGGAGTCACTGTCCCTCAGTTCCTATCATGGAATCCAAACTTCAACTCGCTTTGTCAGAACAGCCCCAATTATGTCGGATATGTGGTCTGTGTGAGGTATGTTCCGTCCACCCTGGGCTACTCGAATTTAAAAAAGGGTACCCTCATGGATTGCTGCCTTACAAACAATTAACCGTTCCATCAGCCCACCAGGTGGTTATCTAAACTCTACAGCTTCATCAACAAACGGTTCGAGCGGATACACGGGCGGCGCGATGACTGCCGTGCCTGCGCCTACAAATGCGATGACTGGAACCAACAAAAATTGCGGCCAATGGTATACTGTGAGCCTAACAGATTTCTTTTTGCGACTGAGCTATGGCACCAACTCTCAGCGACCACATAGTAATACGAGTCTTTAGGTCGAGGAAGGAGATAATTGCGCACTCCTTTCTGTTCGATTCTCACTTGCTCTCCCTGATTTCTACTTTCTAAATCCCGAAATCGACGTAAATTGCACGAATCTGGAGCTTGGTGAGGCTTATTGTGTAGCACCCGTGGGAACTCTGGCTACATATTCTGATTATCCAGTCACGACACCGCTTATCGTGGTCACAAGCGCTACTTTCCCCTCGGTTAACACCGCAATTCCCACTGCTAGCAGTCACCCGGGATACGTTCCGACCACCTCACTACTTCCAACGGCATCTGGCACTGTAAATGATTGCACGGCATACCGAAACTACGACGGCACAAATGGCCTGAACGACTGCTCATATATTGCGGTCGCAGAGGGGGTTACCACAGATGAACTCCTGGCTTGGAACCCTAGCCTTTCCGCCACTGATTGTGTTTTTCAATCTGGATACAGCTATTGCGTTTACCAGATCAATGCCACTTGTGAGTTCAATCTGGTAGCCGAGCACAGTGAAAGGTACAGAAAAAGATACTAAACCTGGCCCAGCAGACAGCAGCGGCACTAGTTACTGTTTACCCACAAATGCTACGGAGGCAGGAACAATATCAACCTGTAATTGCTTTACCGAAGTTATTGGATATCAAAATAGTAGTGGTGAGTCACCGCTTTGTGCAGAACGCATGTGTCCCGTTTCCTCTCCCCAATACTAACTTTGGCTTCCAGGATACAGTTGCGACGACATCCAGACCGGCTTCGGCCTGACAGCTAATCAGCTACTGGCGTGGAATAGCTGGATGGGTTCTGACTGTAATTCAGCACTGTTCAAAGGCCTAGGGTATTACGATGTTCGTGCTATCTGTGTAGGTGTAAGTTCCACCTCCACCGGTCCACCCACGACAACTACGGCGACGACCACAACGTCGTCGATCGCGGCACCAACCCAGACTGGAATCGTCTCAGACTGTGGGGAATTCTACACAGTGAGTGGCGGGGATACATGTGCGTCGATTGAAGCCCAATTCGGCATCACCTTTAGCGAATTCTACTCGTGGAACCCAAGCAGTAAGCCGCCCCCCCGGGGACTCAAATACACTTGATCCCAGCTTACACAAGAACGACAGTTGGTGCCGGATGTACGAACCTATGGTTGGGTTATGCGTATTGTATAAAGGGCCCTAAAAGCACAGCAACAGCTACTGGGCCAGGCGGCCCGGTGCAAACTGGTATCGCATCTAATTGCAACGCATATTACACAGTTGCGAAGGGAGACTCATGTGCCGCTATTGAGTCGAGATATGATCTTACCTTTGCTCAGCTGTACCAGTGGAACCAGGCTATTGGATCTAATTGTGAGAACCTCTGGATTGGGTATGCTATTTGTGTCGGGGTTCCCACGTAGGTTTGTCCTAGGGATATTGGATGGCCGGCAGCCAGCGCGCAGGGTTAGGATTCGATTTCTCCTGGATGGGAGACTATCGACTTGGGAAGGATAACTCATATAGGAAGCGAATAAACGTCCGGTCGTCGTTTCTCATTTCCCGCTGAATCTATCCAGCCTACCTACGTATGGTGATTGGTCGCAACCTCCGGAATTCATAAGTATATGTACTGAATATAGCTATAAGATGTGAACGCAGGGGAAATTTTGATTGCTACATGGTCTCCGCAAGACGGAGACTGAGTGTCGTGATTCTCAATGCTTCGAGGGAACATTCGAAGCGATGCTGTGGTGGGGATGGCTTTTTGTGAACCATTCTGCATGGGCTGGGGAGGAGATTGTTACGAAGACTCTTGGTTCGTGGATGCAGCGCTTGAGTCGGTAGAAATGCCGAGTGAATGGACCAGGTCTATTGACAATGAAATGGGGGAGCTGCTTTTGCACTTGCTTGGGCGCCTCCTATAAGTATCAGATGGTGGCTGCTTACGGTTTCTCATAGCCCTTCAGCAAGAATGTTTGGTGCTTCATCGAGAAGGAACCTCTCATATGGGATTTCATGGGATGAAAATACGTTTGGGAACTGTCCACAGTGGTCAGATTACTGTATATCCATGACTAAAGAATCAAAGTCAACTGGCTCTTTATCGCTTGAGCGAATGCTGCGACTCGATATCTCTCAGAATTCGCTCACACTGAAGCCAGATACGCCGACGGTTTTTGAGAGCCAGATAGTCCAAAGAATCGCTATCATATCCCGCCACTGCAGATGCTTCCTTCAGCAGACGAAGGAGCTCATTCCATTGGACTTTGCTCCTCTTTTGCATCTGGGGCAGGACTATGTCCGCACACCAAGGTACGTCGAAGAATAGTCGAGACTCCCAGAAACTGCGTGGCAGATTCTTAGCGCATTGCCTGAAATGAGGACTCGCTAGGAATATATTCAGCACAGACTGAGTTGGAAGCATCTCTAGTATGCGAAACCGCAGCTCGTACGGAATTAGCGAGAGATAGTCTGACTTCCTTGAGTCTGAATGGTGCTGGATCTCCCTGTCCTGGTCGAAAGTGAATGTAAAACTGGATTCAGATTCGGTCGACGCCTCGGCGATCAATGGCCGGAGATCAAATGGCCCCCTGGGATCTATCACGGTCCACTTTAGATTTGGTTAGCAGTCTTTCTCTGCAAGCTCGATCCATCGCTGGTAGATGGTTTCGCAAACCTCGGAATCTTCCCATGGAACCCAACCCTCAAACTCAAAACGAGGTCCCTCACTAAATGTATCACCATAACCCCAATCGAAAGAGTCACTGTTGCGATCCGCTAAGCCCAGGTCCATAACTGAGAGGAAATCCCGTAGATTTATCGGTCGTATGGCTGAGGTTGTATCACGACATACAAGTTTGAAGATTTCCAAACATGCATCGTGGACCAAAAACCCATCCTTATTGCATTCTAGGATATTCGACCTGGGATCTTCGCCGTACGGGCGTGGATAGAAGAAGTGCCCGGACTGGGGATCAACGTGTTGGCCCTATAAACCAACCTATTAGTTCCGTACTTAGATCTACGTAGGTGGAAGGACATACAAGAGGCGATACCATAGGCAAGTCAGCGGAGTCGTTTTCGGTGAAGAGCTCAGCATCTGGAATTCGGTGGGCTACCAGACGAACATCACCAAGCCACTTGGTAGCCACATGTCAGCAGTGACCGTTAGGAATGACGGGTATCAGCACCTTGATGACTTTCGGGGAGATAATTCTCGCGTCATATCCAAACCTAGCATTGCAGAAGCTCGAATGCCCGTCCTGGTTTGCAGTCTTAGGTTGGTTTCGAGTATTTACTGCCGACCCTCAGCGGCCAGCTCAGTACATACTTGCTCCTGTTGCCCTCCGCAATTGCAGTAATCATCAAATGCCTCATGCTCGCTAATTTGGATTGCTTCGTCAAGATACCGGAGCGTGGACCGTTTGATAAGGTTTTTGTATGTTGGGGGGCCCCCGCAGATATTGCAGAAGAAACTCGCATCCTCTGCGTCCATTACTGCTCAACCTCGTCAACCTCAAGGTCGGGATTGGTAGAGTGGCAGGAGGATGGAATGTGAACGACAAGGGTCTAAGACTCACTAATTACTTAATCAGGAGCATGTGACCGCTGCCCAACAGCAGCAACTAGTAGATGATGATGATGATGATGTCATTTACCTTGACCCCTCACTCAGTGATATGCAGGCTACTACAACTATATCTCTGCCCTTGTATCTCTATTGTACACAATCCTATTCCTTATAGGCGAGCTTTAAGCCCCACCTAGGGGCCTGTGTTGGCTATTTGCCCTTGGTTATGTCCTTACAGGACCCTTGGTTCGTGGCGACGTGGCGGAGCGGTTATGTTTCTTTTTTGTCAGGGCATTTGATGCGCATATTTCAGAATCACTGGGCGTTCCCTCCACATTGCGAGCTCACAACATATCAAGCAATATAAGGTTTGGTGTGAGCCTAATTAATGAAACAAAAGCAAGCTTAAAGATAAGGTTCACGTTAAACACACTAATGCTATGTTCATCCTACTTTAGCTGATATAGCTCACTGGGTTACCTGATTTGTATATGCCTAATGGTTACCTAAGAGGATCTGGTCAAGGCAGGCGCAGTTCCATTTCAGCCACCTTACGCTAGTGCTTCAGATGCTAGTTCAGCATTTCTACCTCTAAGGACTGCTTTGCTCAAAGGATTCCATCAAAAGCGCATTGATTCAGTAGCTTATGCATAGGACCTCCTAGATGGAGCTGTGCAGTTCACGCTAACTTATACTACTACTCAGAATGTTAGTGCTTCCTTTTATTTCTATTTTCTCTATGTGGCCGTCAATTGATAATATCCCTTAGAGCTTCTATTAGAAGCATGGGAAATAACTGAAGCATACGGTTATTCATGCTAACCCTAATACAGTTTTTATCATCATTAACATTAGCTGCCCTGATGAATATAATACTGAGTAAGTTGACTCTATGTAAATAGGAAGAGTTACGGGCTCTGCAGCACAAGTATAGGTCAGCAAATCTTCGTTGCCTGGAAATGGCCCTACCATCTTAATCTGCTTTTATTCGTATGTCCCACCTCCATGAAGCCTAGCCCATACTATAACAGAGTAATATACACCAATTGAAAACCCATAGACAAAACTTATGCACAGGGAATTGTACGAGGTAACTCCAAGCCCCGCTCCACAGCGCATATTATTGATCCCGCTAGGCAACAATTCGGCAATGAGATCCGGAGTAGAAGCAGCCACCAAAAGCGACCAAGACTATCCGTCGGGGTCAGAAGTTTTGGATTCATTACTAGGATAGGTAAGATTTTAGCTCTTAATTAATTTGCCTGATTGGTTCCCTGGTGCCTGTACGCATGTCTCACGACTCAACCAACGCTTAACGAATCGGGTAAGTCTTTCATGTGAGACGGAATCACGCCCGCAAATGTCGTCTTAATTCAAGTCCTGACTCCGTATAGGCCTAGCGATCTTGGTCGTTTTTATTGATGACTCACTAATAAACTAGCTCCCCGGAGATCTGAGCGCGAGAGGTCTTGTATATAATCTCGCCTTGCTCTGTTAAATGACCTTCAATATCGAATCTCCACTACTTGCCCCACAGCCTTCAACTGGCTCCTCCAGACGGTCGCAATGGATCCCTTCCCATTGGAAACCTACCGCTCCGCCCGTCTCCTTTATCGTGCGCCAGAGGATAACCCAGAAGACGATGCATTCTTCCAAGCTCTCTACGCCGACCCTATAGTTGGATATATGGCCACTAGCGCCCTCATACGCCCGCTCAGCACAAAGGAGTGGAAGGAGTTGCGAGCAAAGCAGCTTGCTGCTGCGTTCATGACAGTCATGATATGTATCATCCCGGACGAGGGCTCCGATAAGGTGCCCGAGATAATTGGTGTGATCTGGTTAAAAGAGCAAGTCCCTGCCTTCACACATCATCGCACACACGAGTTGGGGATCACTATTGCGCGCCAGTACCAAGACAAGGGGTATGGGTCTGAGGCTATCTCATGGATACTGGACTGGTCTTTTCTGACTGCGGGCTTGCACCGCGTTGAGCTGACGGTCGGTGAGTGGAATGAGAGGGCACAAAAGGTGTACCAAAGGCTTGGGTTTGTGTCTGAGGGACGGAAGAGGCAGTGTGTGTGGAAAGGTGGGAGGTGGTGGGATTTAATCTATATGGGCGTTTTGGCGCATGAGTGGAAGGCGAAGAAGGTTGCTGACTCCTGAAATGCCGATTGTGTGATAGACAGTCTATTGTATGTTTTTGAATTTTCTTTTGTTTCACATCTTGATGTTTTTGCTGTGAACTTATTAGGCTTCACTGAGTCAGCTCGCTCTGTTTAGAATCAAATAGAAAAGTCTGGCTGAATTGGCATGGTCAAATCCCGCGATCTGATTGCTCGAACTCGAATTGGGACAGGGATTCGGACTGCGGGGAAATGGCCAGACAAATGCGTGTTAATAATGATAAGGATGGTTAATAGAAGGACATCTTGGAAAAAAGAACTTATAATAGTCAAACCCACCCACATCAGCGCCCTTTGGCCCAATGCTTTCAGCGCAAGAGCGAGCTTACTTGGAAACAACCCGACGTCTCCTTGCTGGATCATCAATGAAGGCCTGGCATCTGCTACAGTCACTTTTTGTCAGACCACAGAGCAGCCGTGTCTCATCATTACCAACAATTCTGAAAGGCCAGCAAATCCTGAAAGTTGGGTTAAGGTGAGCCCATTGCCCAATACGAAACTTGGGCTCAAGACGGCAAATTGATTTCGCTTGTACGACCGACGAACCTTCAACCACCAGTGACGATAGGCAGAAACTCAAAGAACACGGAGTTGTTGGACCCTGAGGTGATTTTTACCACATATGCCCCTGGCCCTCATATGATGCCGATGTAGCTCTGCTAAGAGAGATTGGGAGGGCATTGAAAAATTATAGGGACAATCAAGGCTTCATATTCACCTAACCGACTCTAAGAACATGCTAATGTAGGCTAAACTGGAAAAATGAGCCAGTCCCATAATTTGCGGGGCTTGTCGTCATGAGAGCCTGGTAGGGTTTGGCCCACCAATACGGCCCCCTCCGCAACGGAATATGCTTATATTGGGAACGTGGAGACATCCATCGTGTTCTCCGCTGTGTTGAAGACAAGCCGGAGTCCTGGATCTACCTTGGCCTCGTTGTGAGAGAACATTTTAAACACTAGCAAAGAGTACGTCAGTACGGCCATGCATTGACAGGACACACCAAGGAAAAGGGAAATGGAAAAGGAAAAACCCACCGCCATTAGCCCCTTGAACTCCGATGGTACACTCAGCACCTTTGTCCACGGCATCATAGTACTGATAAGTGACAATATTCGGGTGCGCTTCGTCAATACGCAGGTTAAAGTGAAAGTATTGATCTTCCTTTGACCACCGTGTCACATACCATTCCACCGTGAGAGATCTCGACCCTGGCTCTCCGATAATCTCATAGTAGATCCCGTGTGGTTTTCCCTCACAGATCTTCAAATCTGTCCAGAAGGGAAACATTGAGTATGCGGGAATCTGATCGTAGAAGGGAAGAATCTGTCCATTTCGCTGTTCGCTGTTTGTTCCGCCGCCCGAATCCAAACTGAGGATGCCATTGTCCGTCACGAAGACCTGGTTGGTGCTGTAATTGAAGAGGCTGACAGCAAATGGCAACTCAAGAGGGAACCACCGGTCATCGATGTTCTCAGTTGCGCCCCTTAAACTGCCCACAATCGCGATTGGGTCCCTTAGAGTCTAATGGAGACTATATCAGTAAAAGAAGAAGGTGGAAAGACATAACAAGCTGGAATGAACTGTCCCATACCACTTTATTATCAAGAATCGGTTGTGCATCTTCTTCAGCTGGTTGTGCTTCTTCTTCGGCTGGTTGTTCCCTTTCCCTAGCTCTCGCCTGAAGTTCTTCAAGGAGCTTCTTCTGCGTCGCCAGTATATCATCGAGATAAACTTTCACCATGATGCTGTGGGCCCCTTCTTTAATTCGGAGAAGGGAATTCTCAGCCTCCTGAACAGCAGTCAATCGCTCCTGGATGGCCACCGCAGAAGAAGCAGCGTCGACAATTTCACCTTGTTCGGCAAGCGTGGTCACCTTGTCGGCGAGTTGCTGAACCTTTTCGAATTCATCTTCTGCCTTCGACCGGCCGACCAATATGTCCTTGGTGAGGTCCGTGAGATCCTTTCCAGCTTGGACAGCAGTCTCTACATTCTGGGCTAACACGTTGAACGCACCGGGATCCCGGCCAAAGACCTCAGTAATTTGGGTCTGGACCAGGTAGATTTCCTTTACCACCTTCAACACTCGCCACTCGTACTCAGACGCTGCAGTGGCATATTCCTGACTGCGATCCAGAGCTATTTTAGCCTGGCCCCTGAGCTCGCTCATCTCTGCAGTGACTTTCCGGACGTATTGGCGGTACCTCAACAGGATAAGCTGCCACGATATCAAGCCGAGAATGGCGAGCCAGAGGACAGGGAAGAAGAAAAGGGTGATTAGGACAAGAGTGATGGTGTGCCCGCCGGTGATGCCGTCGAGCCAAGTGGTGAGAGACTGCCGTTCCAGGTATGCAAATCGCAGCTGCCATGAGACATTTGTAGATTGACTGGCCGCAGCGAGCAAGGCCACTGCCACGAACAACGGCACAGAGAACAGAGACTCAGCCGAAGTCGTATCTGACCCCATCCAGCCCCAGCAGACGGCGAGTTTCGGGTATGCCAGAGCCAGGATAATCAAGGAGGCAACTGAAAGCGTATCACTTAAATCAGTAGAACGACTTGACAACACACCGGGGATATTTACCCTTGTGCTTCTCCACAAACCGAAGAATCTTCTCCAAGGCCCCGAGTGTCTCCACAAATGATGCTCCTGTCTCCGGTTCGTTCGCATTGTTACTGGGTGTATCCATCCCCATAGTGGGCAAGCTGCTTCTGTAGCTAATACTTCCGCGTCTCGACTTAAGCAAGCAAATCGGCGTTGAAAAAGATAGAATGGATAATGATCTGGTGGCAACGACCCCGCGGTGATCAGGCCTTATAAGTCCACGCAAGGGAAACCTAGCCACTCGTTGTGGACTGAGAATAACCCATCTTAGTCCAGTCCGATTTCCATCTAGTCTTCTGGTTCAGCTCCATAAGAGAGGGAATGGTAGCGCCCCCTGCTGCGACTCTTGGCTTAGTGCATGGTTACCTGCAGGCGCTGAGCGGGGATACGGGCTGAAACCTTATATCATAGGTAGCAAAGATAGGGCCGACAAGACCAGCTCTACACTACTGGCTCCTTTGGCTTCAGGCCGCTAAGCCTGCTATGCATGTCTTCCCAACTAGTTGTTGGATATTTAAGGTCGGCTTGGAACCCAGATGGTCTCGCCGACGCCTAGCGGGCTATGCAATCACTGGGGTGGAAGCGACAAGTTTTGATGCCATTTTATAAAGCATGAAATAGTGCACCAGCTCAGCCACTATGGTATTATCAAACTACAGATAGCGCTAGGAATAGGATCGGGCCCTTCCACAACATGCATATGACAGCCGCAAAGCGGGGTAATCTGCAAGAGTGCTTGCATGGAGCACTGAGGCTTCAATTTCTTCAGCTGAACTCCTATGTATAGTTATTATGTCATTGGTGATAGTGGTCACTTCCTAACTAGTTTCTGCATTCTAGGAAATTGCCCATGACTCGTTGCCAGTCTGCTCGCTTATTGCACAAGCACAAAGTCCTTGAGTTTCATATATTGAGTAAACGTTGAGCCACCTGGGACCCTCGCTGACCTTCCCACGGAGGTCGTACACCAGTACTTGCGGAAGTTTTGCACGATGAGCCTCTGCGCTGAAAATGTTCTCTTAAAAACAACCGCCCTTTTTATTCCTTTGCAGGTGTACAGATATTGGTTGACCCGGCCATGGGGGAGCTTAGAGTCATATGTTGATGACGGAGAAGTCCTCGACTTCTCGTATCTGCAGGCAGTAACTGGGATAGCGTTAAATATGAGGTTTTCTGGCTGGCCAGAAATTACTGGGGTACTACTCCGGTTGTTTTTGAAAGGGTTGGTCAAGAAAGAATCCCTTGACGCCCCGCTTGCCCTTCGCCCACCTCTCGACTCGAAAAGGGCTCGTATTTGCATGAACACAGGCAATGTCAATATGTAGAACAAGCTTTGACTTCATTCACTACAAGCGGAGCTAACACCTTAGACCCCTACTGTAGGTTTGACAAACTGCATTGCTTATACCTTGTTCAGCTGAACTTGCATATGTTCAGACAGCCACTGGTGGTGACGGTATTTACCTAACATTACCGTTCTGATGAACAGGCAGCTGTTGAGCTATTCGCCGACATCCAAGCCCTTCCAATCGCAGAATTCCCGGAGTGGCCGAGTTGTCTGCATATGACAGGAGACACGTGTCAACCAGATGCAGGTAAAAGAATGTGTCCCAGCTGATGCTAGGAGACACACCGTGATGAAAGAAGCTGAACTATAGCGATTAAAATCATATCTAATCTGCTCAGCCAGACACCCTATTATGAACATCCTTGTATTAATGTCAATCACAGTCTGCCCGACCGTTACTGCGTATCCTATGTAGAGATAGATCCTAATATTCTTAATTGAAGGTCCAGTTTATTTAAGAGAATCAAATACCAAGACCATTTCAACTGTCTCTGTCCTTCGTCTGCTCTGCATTTCCATCCGCTTTCAATCCTCAATCTCTCCTGCTTTCACTTCCCAGCTTGCGGCGCGGATTATTCTCGCTCGATCTTCGACAATCCGACACAATGGCAATTGAGCAAGGCCAGAAGAAGACTAATCCTAGTCCTTATGACCAAGTCATTGTTATGAGCCAGAGATTTATCAATGCCTCGTTTGCAAGGATGTGGCAAGAGGCGCCGTACGATGACCCTCTCAAGCTGTTCGAACGTACCGGTCCTCGCACACAGGATATGGTCAAAGTTACCTTTGAGCCCCCTCAGATCTTTATTCCTGCCTTTGACTATGATTACCCTGGTCAGGTATATCTCCGGATGAAAGTTTTGCGCGGCAGGATCTATCTCTATTCAAATTCGACAAACAGATACCCGGATCCTTATGACATGGATGGATGGGACCTATATTTCAAGATGAGAATCAGTAAGCATCCTATCCGCAATAGTCACACTATCAGCCCTTTCCCATTGAGGCTCTTTTCTGCGTATTATATCTGGCTTATGATTTCTAATCAGCGAGCTAGGGCACAAGGATAGCAATCGTGACGATCCCAAGTATAGAGCCTACCAAAATCAATCAGGGTTTACGGGCGCTATTTTCGAACTGACCCAGCTATATATGGGTCTATCTGGTAAGTGGCACGCCATTATTTGAGATGTCTTCAACATCACTGGCCGATCCCTAACCTGGGCCGCCTACACTGAGCTAAGTTGATTGGAGAAACCTTGAACAGATCCCTCAAATCCGGACGAGGCATTCGACGACAGGAAGAGCACGTATGCCGCCGCGATCCTTACTCCAAATGCCAAAGAAAATCTTAAAAAGGTCATGGCGGACTGGGTGAGGAGTGCTCGGCTGGAGAAACCCAGGTGTAATCTCCTCGGATACGTCTTTACAAGCCAACAACCCCAGACCTGTGAGTTGCGATCTAGACAATCCCTGGATTTGAGTCCACTGGTTGACATTTTTCTTGACAGTGCCAGGGGCGGAAAGCTCGCTTGTTCCAAAAATAATACACTACAATGTCTATCCCTGGAGAGGGCCTGACGGCTCTTATAAGGAAAGGGATGGGATTGATGAGAATGCTTTGGGCATCCTAGTCACAACAGGATCCCATCAGGCACCGTATCCTCCTGGAATCAACTACTCCGGTCCATTTGTTGAAAGAGGAGCAACTCTCTGTATCAATGCGAACTGCTTCTGGGAAGGCTGGGTCCTTCGGGACATCCAAGCGGTTGCCAGAGACACTGAGATTATTGTCGATAGCCCACCGCTGTCCATGGGAGTACCCGGTAAATGGAACATTGGTGTCAAGTATCATTTTGGATCCAAAGAGGCTCCAAGCAGCTTTCGCTTTCAGCGCCATGTTAAAAATGGAAGGACCAGCTGGGCGTGGGCAGGGAAATTGCATAAAACCAGGAGCAACACTGTGAACCTTAAACTTGGGGGCGGGAAGCTATATCCTATGGTTATTGACGAAACTTGTGTGTTCTGTACCCTAAGCCTTCTTCCGAGGATTACATATGGATGCTAACACTTGAATTATCGAAGCACAATCGTGGATTACCATTGAGCCTGCCAGCGGCGATGAGCGCATGTTTGCAATCAAGGGACGACACGTCTTCTACCATGCATTGCTCTGGAACAAGGACAAGAAATTTTCGTAAGTGCAGACATTTCTCCCTCCTTTTTTCCTCGACGCAAGCGAGAGTATTCCCCGCGGATTCTACTGACTGACCGAATGTACAGGCAATGGGTTACGCTCATTGCCGACTGGCATATCAATTTCAAGCTCCAGGCAATCGATGACGGAGGGCTACAAATCGCCCCCGAGTTGAGAGACAGATCCTGGCTCACAATACAAACCAAGAAGGGGACCATCATCCGTACCAATGAAGGCTACCTCAAGAACAAGGCCACAACAATGGAGAACGAGTTGCGCAAGCGTCTGGAAAACGCAGTCTCCGGGATGTCTAAGAAGCTCAATCAGGCTTTCCAGGTGCAACACAAGTTTATTATGCCAGCATCAGGAGTGTTCGCAATGAGACACCCCAAGTTCAACAACCGCGGCGATCTTCTGGTTGAACTCGAATATCTCAAGTAAGTCTGCCATTAATTGCACAGAGATGCTACTTTCTGTGACCATAATCAAGGCATCTATCGCTAAGTTCTTTACAGCTTCAATGCTCCTAACTCGAGGGCTGTAGTCCCCGCGCCACATGTTGTGGATAATGCAATGGAATCCGACCACTTTCCTTTCCACAAGATTTCCTCCATCTCACAGGATTATCCTCCACGCCAACCAGTTGACCATCACCATCACTGTCTGACCAGAGAGCATTTTCATGAAGATGTATACCACGAGTATCATGTTGACGAAGATGAGTTCCACAGGGATCACCACTGCCATCCAGGCGAGCATCATGATGAACATGAGGATCATCGACCTGATCCGTTCAAGCATACAGAACGTACTTGGCCTGAACCAGGAGACTTTCCTTTCCATTCTGACAACGAGCCTGACTGTCATAAAACTCCAGACAAGAAGCCTGATGGTCATACCCAAGATGAGATCGCTCATCCAGATGACCATTCTAGGCCACACCGTCGCCCACAACCAGGCCGTACCGGACATAAAGATTATGCAAGTGATGATGACGACTACTATTAATCTTTTATAACCACCAATAGGAATAGCCAGAGCTACAGGGACTAGTAAGTCCTGGCTTTTGACGCTGTTGAAACCCTCGCAGCAAGTAAGAGCAGTGAACCTAGGTTGCTTATTATACTCTGATTTTCTTCTTCAGTGTCTCAATGTATAGGACCATAGGAGTAGCAAGGAAAGTCTTCCAGTACTGGTACAGTTTCTGTGTTTTTTGATATATACACCTTGTCCTTTGCCTCACTGGGTGCAACATAGGCTCTGAACTTCACAACAACTCATGAGATAACTTCGTGATCTTCAGACTGCCCCAATTAGAGATAGTTTTGCTAGAGTTAACTTTTTATGGAAGCTATCTGGATCAGGCACCTCATACTGGAGCCAAGCAAAGAATATTTAATTATGGTCCACACTCCCCGAATTGAGTGGTCTTCTTCTGTTCTGCGCTAGAGATATATTAATGGGACTGATGGCCAATTGGGCATAGAGAAGCGTAGACTAAAGATAAGAAAGGCGAAATCAACATAAAGCAATGCATACGGAAGATGAAAGGGTGGTGGAATATGGAGGAAGACTGGGAAGAATCTAATAATACCTCGCACGCTAGAACAGCAAGATGCATTGTATGAAGGCTTACAGGACAATGCCTGAAGCAGTCAAGCTAACCTGGTTTAGGAATTCGTGGCATATCACTTAAGTGTGGTTGAACTAGCGACAGCATAAAGCTTAGCTAATTACGCATAAATACGCCTATGGGGAAGATCTGCAGACCACTATAGCCGGAACAATCAGAGATAACGAAGGGGAGATAATCGAGGACGCCTGGATTCCAAAATTCTCTGGCGGAGAAATTCCTCATTCCTCAACAGCTGTGGGCTTTGAAATTGATCTGCTGATCCGTAGTAGTGGCCTTTCTTCAGGATCGGAATAGGCTCGCCGATCTCCTCACTCAGCATCGCAATGTATTCCTCCATATAACACTCGCAATCTTGATTCATGAACTTGTGGATTTGCGGATGCGGCACAGAGGAGTAGACGATGTGCTTATTGTCATGTTGAGATTTGTGATGTCAAAAATGCGGTGAAATAGAGTGTTACAGCACCCCATGTCTCATATTGATCAGCTACGGCATAAAAAGCAGTGCCGACTGCCGAGTTGGGGTCGCATATTCAAGACAAGCAGAATTATGCACAGGTTTTCTGGCATATGCCTTGTTCAACATCCACAGAGGATGAATTGCCCAACTCTTTCCGCAGTGATCAACATGGGGTTCATATTGCCAACCATATTCTTGGCTTATGCACCCAATTTCGAGGATAAGGCTGGGATAATACAGTCAAGTACATAGTAAAGGCCCGAAAAGCGCAAGAATGCCATACATGCTGGCTGTTGATGGTGCTTTGATTAAGTGGCCGATCAACTATAAAGGGTTTCTCTTCTATGATGCTAAGCATCCCAACACATATCGACTTCTCATTCAGTTTACTTCTTTTCTTAATCTGACATTAGAAAACGCTTAGCCATGGTGGGTGTTATTGACAACGAATCCTCGACGGTCAACCCGCCGCAAAGACTTCTCGCAACTGTGGTTGACTCTCTTGCCATTGAATGCCCTATGCGACGATTTTGCTTGATCCCCAATGGTACAGAGGTCTACCAAGGATTCCGCGAAGTGGCTTTCAAGGACCTATGTCGCGCCGTGAATACGGTGTCTTGGTGGATGKAGAAGCATCTTGGTAGCTCAATCAAGGGTGAAACGATTGCCTATCTGGGGAGCAACGATATCCGCTATATTATCCTGATGCTTGCTTCACACAAAACAGGGTATACGGTCAGTCTTTGGACACTGGAGATGGAATGATTGACGATTCGAATGTTGTGTAGATCTTCTTTCCTTCGACTCGGCTATCCAATGAAGCATACGATTCTGTGTTCGGAGCGACGGGATCCAAAATGCTGTTATTCAGCCCGGAGAAGCATCAGCTCGTCTCGGGTTTAACCGGGCCAAACAAGTCGATCAGCTCCCTGGAAGTACCAAGTATCACTGAAATGCTGAATGACAATTCGAATGTGAAGGAATACGATTTCACTTCGACGTACGAGGAGATGGAAGACAAAACCGCATTCATAATCCACAGCTCCGGAACAACAGGTGAGTGGATAACTACAGACGGCATACTACTCATTCTGCTTGCATGGTTAGCTTATGATCCGATCATCTCTCTGTAGGTATGCCCAAACCTGTGTCTCTTACCCATGGCTTCCTCGCCACTATCGACTACGGCCCGTTCATGCCTCGACCCTCTGGCCGCTCACCGACCGTTTTCCAAGACCTGCTCTCGACCGATCCCCATCCAAGCGATCTCGTTCTGTCAATTACACCATACTTCCATCTGATGGGTCTTGCGTCGTTTTTTGAATCGATATTTCACAACATCCCCTTCGTGGCAACCCCGGACCAGCCGTTGTCTGTCAACCTGCTGATAGATGTCATCCGTGCAACACATCCTACTACTACCGTCCTACCGCCATCGATCCTCGAAGACATGAGCCGGTCCCAGGAGGCTCTGGAATGCCTCGGCACCTTAAAGTTCGTTTGCTATGGAGGCGCTCCGCTGGCGAAGGAGGTCGGAGACAAACTAAGCCAGTACACCCAGTTGAGAAACCCAATCGGATCCACCGAGATGGGCATTATCAGCTCCCTTGTCCCGGAGGGAAAGGAAAACTGGGGATTCTTCGAATGGAATCCGGCATATGGGATCGATATGCAGCCTGTCGGGGATGGTTTATACGAGCTAGTGATCCCTCGTGTGAAAGATTCTCGCCTGATGCATGGGGTTTTCCATACATTTCCGACTCTGAAAGAGTACAGATCCAAAGATCTTTATGTGCAGCATCCGGAAATCCCGAAGTTGTGGAAGTACACTGGCCGCTTGGACGATGTGATCGTGCTCAGTAACGGAGAGAAGCTGAATCCCGTGTCATTCGAGAAGGTTGTAGAAGGTCATCCCTCTGTTCATCGCGCTCTGGTCGTTGGACAGGGCCGATTCCAGACGTGCCTGCTGATCGAACCCGCGATTGATGACCATGTAGGGAATATTAATGAACAGAACTTCGTGGATATGATCTGGCCTTTGGTGCAAACTGCTAACGAGACCGTTCCCCGATACGGGCAGGTCTTGAAGAATATGATTCGGCTTGCATCCCCCGGAAAGCCATTCAAACTGACGCCGAAGGGCACTACCCAGCGACATGCCGTCAATGCGGACTACGCAGAGGAGATTGACGCAATGTATGCCGCGCAGGACAAACAGMTGGGGGCTGAGCTGCCGTCGATTATCGACTTTGAGAACGTACATCGCTATTTGCATGAAGTCATTACCTCCCTCACTGGGCGATCTGATATAAAGCCTAGCGATGATCTTTTCGGCTTAGGGCTCGACTCACTGCAGGCGATTCAGCTTAGCAACCTCTTGCGAAGCGCAGTCTCGTCTTACAACCCTGGGCTGAGTACGGAAAGCATTACTGTACAGAACGTTTATGCTCGACCCACCACGGATAAGCTCGCTGGTCTGCTTTTAGACGTCCTTCAGGAGCAAACAGCGACAGCCCCGATGGAACTACGCTCTGAAAGAATCGCCGGCCTAGTGTCCAAGTACACGGATGATCTCCCAATTCGATCCTTCAACTCCTCCGCGCAACTGCCTCAGCTTTCGACAGTTATACTCACCGGATCCACCGGGTCCTTGGGCAGTTACATTCTTTCCGGCCTATTGAACGATCCTAAAGTCGCAAAGGTATACTGTTTCAATCGAGCCGCTGATGCAGCCACTCGCCAACATCAAGGGTTTGCCGAAAAGGGACTGGACGGCTCGCTCTTGGAAGACCCCAGTAAGGTCGAGTTCCTACACGTGTCCTTCGGAGACAAGCACTTTGGCCTTGGTGACACCATATACAGCAAACTGCTGGATACAGTTGACCTGATCATCCACAATGCGTGGAAAGTCAACTTCAATCACCCTGTCTCGTCGTTCGAAGACCCTCATATCAAGGGGGTGCGCGAATTCGCCAATTTCAGCCTGGAGAGCCGCTACAATGCCCACCTTGCCTTTGTCTCGTCAGTGGGCACAATTGCGGCATGGACGCCCTCTTCAGATGAGTCAGCTGTCCCTGAATCGCCAATGGAGACTGTGGACGCCGTGCTGAAGCAAGGATACGGCGAATCAAAGCATGTAGGGGAGAGGATTTGTTTGGAGGCGTCACGGAGATCAGGGGTGCCGACCAGCATCCTACGGGTGGGACAGATCGCGGGACCGGAGAGTCGGTTGGGGCTGTGGAATCCACACGAGTGGCTGCCCTCCCTCGTAAAGACGTCTAAGAGTATGGGAAAAGTACCGGATGCGCTGGGTAGTTTCCTCGTGGACTGGATTGCTGTGGTGAGTCTACCCCGTCGTAAATGATCGCCAGGCTTAACAAGAATAGGACACTCTGGCCAAGATCACAACTGAAATCCTATTGAGCCGTCGGGCATCATTATCCACGCAACTTCATGCCGTTTTTCATTTGACAAACCCATCACGGATTCCCTGGGCCTCCCTGATACCTGCAATTCAGGAAAAATATCATGTGAGCGTGGTGTCCCTCACGGAATGGGTCGATGAGCTGGAACACATCCGGAATCCTTCTACCCAGGACCTTGCCGAGAAACCGGCTCTGAAGCTCCTATCTTTCTATCAGGCATTAGCTCGCAGTGCGGGTGTGCGAAATGCTGAGATCAGCGTGGAGAATTCTAAGAAAGCCAGCAGAGCCATGGCATCCCTCGGGCCGGTCTCACTCGCCCAAATGTCCAACTGGCTAAATCAGTGGGATTTTTGAGGGTTCATCGCTAGCTATCCTCATGCGACAGCAGCAGCTAGACGAGCCATTGTAGAGTGGTCTTTCTGAGGCACATAAAAGATTAACAACGATGAAGTAAGGGTTAAATGAAAGAAATCCAAAGAAGGGTCTCTTCCAGCTTAATCTCATACACTCGACATGCTTCAGACTCTGGATTGGTGGTTGGTTCTACTTCTGGTTCTCATATTTCAACAGCACTCCACGACCTCAGTTTATAGTCTACCCTTGCCCAATAGAGCGCGTCAATAGACAAAGGAATGATATGGGAGCAGAAACTGCTTGAAGCAGGCTTTAACGTACAGTGGCGTCCTCCTACAGATGCCTTCTCCAAAGTACCTATGTGGTATACATGGAAGACTCCGAGGAGATTCAAACCTTGACCATGAACTTCCATCCGGTGGTCCACCCTCTAAGTAAGATGAAGAGACAGCCGGAAAAGATGGAAAAGACCCCACCAAATACCCAAGTTCTCGTCCAATGCAAATTAGTAGAATCTGCTCCCAGAACCGCACCCGCCCCAGGTCCACCAATGAGCGTACTGCATGAAGTGATGCCAAAGGCCATACCAATTCTCGTCCCGAGTTTTGACTTGTCCTTTGTCAACACAGCAAGACAGACGGGCGGTAATGCGATAAAGACGCCCGAGAAGAAACCGAATAACGCGGCGACGACGACTACACCGGCGGCACTTTTTACTGCCAGCATGCAGAAGATCAAGATGCCGCAGACCAGGGCTCCTGGGCCGATCAGGTTAAAAGGACCGGTCTTGTCGGATATCGCATTGGGGACTGTTCGACCGAAGACCGAGGCCGCATTAAGAATCGGGATGACGTAGAATGATAAACTCCGGTTGGTATAGCCATTGACTTCACCGTAGAAGGAGATATAGAACAACAGGACATACAGGCCGATGAAGCCCGTGACCGCGCCGAAGACGAACAGGAGATAAGGCCGATCACTGAAGGCGGTGGTGTCAATCAAGGCTCGGGCTTTGTGAGGCCTGATGCGCTGTCTCATCACCAGGTTGGGGACGAGTAAGGTGGCTAGAGAGATAAACCCAATGACTCTAGTAGACCAGCCAAAGCCGATCCGGTTAATAAGTCGGTAGAAGACGATCGGATAGATGATACCACCCATCGAACTGCCCGCAGCAGCCAAACCCACGGCCAGACCGAGTCTCCTACGGAAATAGGTTGGGAGAAGGGCTATTGCTGGGACAAAGAGTAGTCCACCGCCGATTCCGATGCAGAATCCCTGGGCCAACACAACTTGCCAATAGGCTTTGCATATACTGAGCATCATATAGCCAAAAATGATGAGGAAAGAGCCGACAGCGAGAAGGGTTCGGAGATATCCTCGGTCAAATATCGGACCTGAGATGGCTCCGACGAAAAGGAGTAGGAAAGCTTGAATGGATCCAATCCATGCAATGTTTGAGGATGACTGCCTGAACAATTGACCCTCTTCGTAGTATGTCTGGAAAACTGTTGGATGTAGTCAGCGAATGCACTTTGATGGGAATCAGCCATGAATCGGTGCGCCCGCAAGGGCGTAAAGTCGGAGCTGGAAGAAAGTGAATTACTTACTCCCAAAAGTATTCAAATTGCCCCTACAGATCACGATTAGCTTGGGTTTGCAACCCAAGTGCTGGATCGAGATGCACATACCATGTGTTGAAGAACAGGGAGAATCCACCAGCGACTTGAAGCCAGGCCACAAGTCCACCATCTGGTACTTCAAACATTGGCGGCTTGACTGGAGCAGGCCGAGTCGCATCGTTCGGTGGCTCTTGTCCTGAAGACTTTTCAAGATCGCCAGAGGTTCCAAGTGATGGCACTGTAGCCTGATTGTCCGCATCGCCCGTCGGGCCGTTCTGGTTACGCCCAAGGTTTTCCTCAGTGCCTGTTTCGCATCTACTTTGCGTCATATTTTGCGTTGTCACATTTTCAGAGTTGTGGTTGTTGGATGAAGCTGGACATTGATAGAAGAAAAACAATGAGTTCCAAGACTTAGCGGAGCGCGCATGACACTTTACATCATCCCTATACAAATAAGCTTCTGAGAAACCGGAGGGAAGCAGTTAACCCCGAAACTCCGCAACGTCCGACATCCACTACCCAGGGATTTGCAAACAATTTCGTCTGGTATTGGATCCGCTTTCTAGACAGACTACAAAATTATGTTCCATACTACTACTATATTGAATGATATGACAGGGGTACTCCTTAACTAGTTTCTCCCAAACCGGCGGCGCAGCCAATCGAATGGCGCCGCTCCCACACAAGCCTCTACTAGCCCTCAGAAGTCTATGGATTTTCCCCATACCTCCCAAATTTGGGACCCTTCCAGCATTTTGCTAAGAGAACCCTAAACATTGACTTCCTATCTGTCGGGGGGGGTCTTAGTAGATTAGGTATAGAATATTCAGGAGGGTGAACACCGGCCTGAATTAACCATGGAGCAGAATAGGGCAGCCACACGCCTAGAACATAGTGAGTAGAGCCTGGTGACCAGTGTCATACTCTTACTGTTGTATGTTGTTTTGATTAGGGTCTAGGGCTTTGGTAAACTCAAGGAGGATTCGAACGATATCCAGGAATCGGTGAGGGCCAGATGAAGGAGGCTGTTCCCATAACTCCCAGCTGTGTCCGTCACTATGGCGCCGTTTTGAATAAGCAGCCGCAAGGTGCTGGTATTATGACAGGCTGCACAGCGTCACACAGAGACGTGAATCCCCAGCTGTCGCAATGGAGACTGACCCCTGGCTCAATCAGCACCTTTACACTAGGAAGGGTCTTTTCGCAGGAAKAGCCAAGGACCGGGATGGAAATACACACATCTATCTTTACAACTTTAGCGCCTAAAAGGAATGATCATAGATGGCAGCAGATGTTCTGCGCGGTTTTTCGACTCTGTTAGCTTGCTGACAGAGAAGAGTAAAACCCACTGCAGAACAGCAACGGCAATCGATCCCAACGAACTGCCGAGAGTTAGGAAGGTTCGAACTTTCTGGCGATGCAGGAAATGACCCTTTTCGTGGAAACGCCGGCTAAATGTGAATCACCCCACAATCCTTCAGAACCTGCATATCTCCAGGAAGCTTCTTCAGGAATGCGGGGTTGAAAAATGCCTGTGCAGAGCTTACCTACAAAAGCGGGCCAGCGGGCCGTAAGCCGCTAGTTTAGGTAAAATATACGCATTTAAGTAGAGAAACATAGTACTGTGCGGACCCTTGAATAATGATTTTCCATTAGTTTGTTTAAGTGTAGTATTAGCATAGCCTCTAATTGTGAGAATAATTCAAAGTACGACAAAAATTGTCCGCTACCGTATAGATTGAAAGACAAAATACTGTTCTGTTTGCATTCCTTGCCTATCTTGTAAAATTTTCAAGAGTTAGGTACTGGCCATCTTGTATCTCCCTCACATCTACTGAGGTAACTCCGCTCCTCACCCTCCTACCCTCCTAGTTAAACTGCGAAATGAAGCTCCAAATTTGGCCCGGAGTCCACGAAGCGCTTGCCCCGGCATCAGTCGCCAAGGGTTCATGCGGACCGTCAAAGGCAATCCACCAGACCGGATGGCCGGCCGAGCACCCAGAATACACAGTTTTGATATGGGTTCCACTTCCCGCTGCGGGCTCCGGGGGGTTCTGCGGGTTGCAGTGATTATCAGTCACAAAGGTGTCTCGAATCTGGCGGCCAAGGGCGATGGGAAGAACCGAGTCCGAGACCCCATGCTGGGCATAGTATGCCACTGGCTGTGTACCAGGGCTGCACCCACTGAGGTTTGCTCCGGACATGACGGCAACCCCGCGGAAGACGTCTGGACGAGCACAGGCAAGCGCGTAAGACATAGACCCGCCGTAGCTCCATCCCATCGAGTAGATCTGATTTTCATCGATGCAAAGATTCGTCTTGAGAGTTGCCAGCATCTGGTCGGTGAAGGTGATATCGGCCCCGCCGCTATTGGCCCAGCCATTGTTCAGCCCCTGAGGGGCCACAAAAATGGCGGCGCCGTTGGCTAGCGGCTGCACCCCGTAGTACGATCCTCCTACGACATCCTGCATCGTCCCGCTCAGCCAGTGGTAACCGAAGATGAGCTTATAGGGTCGGTTGCGGTCATAGTTGGGCGGAAGTGTCAGGATGTACTGGCGCTGGACGCCGTTCACGGTGGTGGTGTACGTTCCGCTGCTCAGCGTCGGAGACTTGCCGCATCCCTGGGAGAGGCCTGTCGAGGCAGCCGAGGAACTGGTTGTAGTGGACGTAGTCGTGGTAGTCACCAGAGTCGTGGTCGTACTCGGCGTGCAGTTCCCTGGCAAACACTGGGAGTAATAAGGATTTTGATAGCTGCAGCATGCACCGGCTGCACACTGCGTAGGGCCATTCCAGCCAATGCCACCGCCTTTATCATCAGGTATATCAGCAGTAGATCTATAATCGCTTCGATCACGGTGTCTCTGACTTACATTGGCCATAGAGGGACTGCTGGCCCAGGACAGGGAGAGCCAAGGTGAGGAGCATAGCTCCCATCATGTTCACGACAGGCTTCATCGTGGTCCAGTAAAATGCCCAACTTAGACGAGATAAACGAAACGAGGTCAGATCTAAACAAGTCTTAGGTAGTTTGAGGCAAGATCAGTGAGTTTACCTATCCTTCCCAACAAAAGCTGAGAGTATTTATAGCCTTTTTCAATCAGAATGGCTGCTGCTCAGTAGGTCATGAACTCGGCGATGAAAAGGACAAGATCCAAAACGAGTTCCGCTTCCCGGCCTCATGATGATGGCTGAATGGCTGCTCTGGTGAGGGGGAGCGAGATATTCCTGTCTCTATTTTATCCAGAATTGAACAACACGAATGCAGAGATACTTTCTGAGACAAAGTCGACGAAAATGGAGTGGAGGAGGTAGATCTTTGATCGTCACCTGAATAAATCATTGCAGGGGTCAGTACCACCTCCACCTGCTCGGCAATAGTATCACAAAGAGAAATGCCGTGGTCTATATGTGTAGAGTATACACTACGGACCCTGACAGTTATACGAACCTACAGCGCCGAGTTCCCGCTCGGGAATTTTCCTGATCAAACATGGTCCTTCCGGGAGTGCCCTGCAGGGCTAGTCATTTCAGTCGCCCTATCTTGTCACGGAAGGTGAAGGCCGAGTTTCACGTTAAGACCCCCAGACTTCGGCACGAAAAGGGAACTGAACGCATGGCTAAGCTTTTGCATCTTCCGGGATTCCAATATGGCATATAGATCACATATTCCAAAGGACCCCATATGGAAAATCAAGTGGAACACAAAACCTCCGAATTTCGTGGGATAGATAAAGATTTCTAAGATAGTAATCATCCATTCTTCCTAGTATCATTCGTTGAAAAGAAGGGATTGAGTCGATGGACAGTCAAGGTCATTTTTGCCTGGCCTCTTTATCATTAATTTGGCTAAAATGACAGTTGTCAGCCACACTGCGCTCAGACAGTGTGAGGGATTTATACGGAGTACGAGCTTGAATCTTGAAATTGTCTATCAAGATTAATTCTGAGAATTAGCCTAAGAGCTCATTTATCCTCCGTCTGGCTGTTATGAACAGTACTCAATATAAATACAAGCAAGAGGGATCTTACTCTTCATGTACCAGCTTACCAAGGGATCGATCGTCTAGAGCTCAGACTTCTTGTTCAAACTGATATCAAGAATAGCTATGGTCCAACTAGTGACTGGATTGTTGCTTCTCCCTTTGGCCTTGGCCGCGTCCATTGACCGCCGTCAGGCCTCGCCGAGTCTGAACACATTGATACAGAATGCCGGCAAGAAGTTCTGGGGCCAGTGTGCGGATGAAGGCCGCTTGACGGAGAATTCCCAAAATCCGGCCATTTATAAAGCCGATTTTGGGCAAGTGACGCCTGAAAACAGCATGAAATGGGATGCAACGGAGCGTATGTGGCTCTTTCGGCTTTTTGCATACTGTGACAAACGATGCTGACAACGATTCAGCTAGCCAGGGCAACTTTGACTTCTCTGGGGCAGACTGGTTGGTTAACTGGGCTGTGCAAAACGGGAAGATGATAAGAGGCCATAACTTAGGTATCGAATTCCGTTCCCTCCGTGATAGATGCAGTGCTGATTTGAATCCACTCCAGTCTGGCACTCCCAAATCCCCAGCTGGGTCTGTCAGATTACTGACAAAACCGCACTCACTAATGCCATGACCAATCACATCAAAACGGTTGTGAGTCGTTACAAGGGCAAGATATATGCTTGGGTGAGTGCTCTCCTCTCAGCTTACTTCTGATCTAACAGAGTAATTCTCGCAGGACGTCGTGAATGAACCGTTCAATGAAGACGGCAGTTTGCGCCAGGATTGCTTCTACAATGTCATTGGCCCTGACTACATTAAGATAGCCTTTCAGGCTGCCCGCGCGGCTGATCCCAATGCCAAACTCTATGTGAATGATTACAAGTTAGTATCTCGTTGTTCCCCTTGCTATGGAGTGCCCTTTGACGTTCATGGCTTTTCTCTAAATAATAATATAGCCTCGACTCCGCCACATATTCGAAGACTATAGGCGTTGTCAACCAGGTGAAGCAGTGGATCGCACAAGGGGTCCCAATTGATGGCATTGGTAGGGCTCATCTCTGCCCTCTTCATATGATGATGTTCGGCTGATCATGGCACTGTCTCTAGGATCTGAGTCACATTTGGGGTGAGCAGATTCTCCATGACATCTCAGGCAAGAAGGAACGACTAATATCACTTTCACAGTGCCGGGCAGGGCTCTGGTGTTCAAGCATAAGTTCTCCTTTCTTTAATTATTGGTACAGGCCTGCTGACATTTCTAAACTGCTCTTGCATTACTCGCTACGGCAGGGACTGAGGAGGTCGCCATTACTGAGCTGGACATCCCAGGAGCCTCCCCAAATGACTACGTAGCAGTGAGTATTGACCTCTCCTCTCTAGGGCACCTAAGCCTCGTCCTGACAACCTCCTTCCACCTAGGTCGCGCAAGCCTGCTTGAATGTTCCAAAGTGCGTCGGCATCACCTCATGGGGCGCGTCTGACCGGGTAAGTTTTCTCTCCCTCCGTCGATTACAATCCCCTTTTCTAATCCTAGACACCAAATAGGATTCGTGGCGCTCCAGCGACACACCGGATCTCTTTGATACCAGTTATAATGCTAAGCCTGCGTACTACTCCGTGGCGAGTCTTCTCGGCAGCGTACACACCACCACTTCGGCCTCAACCGCTACCACTACAACCACCACTTCCACCACCACTACTTCCGCCCCCAGTTCTCCCACGCAGACTCACTGGGGACAGTGTGGCGGGATAGGCTGGACGGGGCCAACACAGTGCCAGTCTCCATACAGCTGCCAGGCACAGAATGCTTACTATTCCCAATGCCTCTAAGGGTAGGATTGCAGAACCGCTGGAGGTATCTTCTAGTTTAGTTGGTTCGTTCAGAGAGGAGTAACCGAAGGATTGCANAGGATTGCAGAACCGCTGGAGGTATCTTCTAGTTTAGTTGGTTCGTTCAGAGAGGAGTAACCGAAGGATTGCATGGTACGATCTGCGATCTCTGTAAGAAAATCCTTACCAATGTCGGTGGGGGAACGATGTTGAGTGGTGACTTTCGCGCAAGGCCAACAGATGTCATTCCTAGGGGGTTCTAACATAGTAACGTGTCAACAAGACAATTATTATTGGATCATATTGCTCTGGCTGTCCTGAATTATGAGCTGTCGATGCTCGCTTAACCTACTTAGCTACTGCACTGTCATTTCCCTTGTCAAAATGGTGGTGGCTCCCTAGGCCAACTAATGGACCAAATGATGGGCCAGATGCTCAAATTCGGCGGAAGATAGACTGGGGGCAAGCAATCCTAGCATTGCATATTAAATACATGCAGTTGCATTTTAACAGCGCCTGTTATGACTTAGACTTGCTTATTAGTCTTTGTTGGCCACTCTTTGACGCGGATCCAGAGTTGGTGTGATTACGCCGCTACTGCTGTGCTGTTATCCAATTGATTACCCTCCTCACTTTCGCTAACATGAGTCATTGATTCACGACCAGGTGTAGATTCTAAAGTTGGTGAATTTTGCCTTGGATTCCTCGGGGCACGGGCGCGCTCATGGTTAGATGGGGGGCCGAGTGTTACCGGTGGCTCCTCGTATGCACCTCCCACTGGACTAGCGCTTGCTTCACCAACAGGAACATGCCGATTTCCATTCTCGGATGCTGTGGTACGTAAATTATTCAAAATAGCCTGCGCTTGACTGTCTGGAGCTTCACCAGGGAAGTCACCTGGCGATCCATCTTCATCTCCAGGGTTATGCCTCGGAGCGACTATCCACCCCAATTTTAGCATCAGGTGCAGTAGTTGCAGTAGTTCATCCGTTGCAGCTAGGTGTCTTGAAGTGTGCTCTCTCTGGATCGTGATTTCCGCGTTCAATTTTGCTATCTCGGCTGTTCGCTTCGCCTTCTCAAGTTCGTGTGTCTCCTGTGCCATAGCCAGCTCTCTTTCTTTTATATTGATGTTTTGGAGATCCACGTACTTCGTATGGTCGAAGATTTGACGAGAAAGAACCAACTGATCATTGGCAACCGTTGCATTTCGTTGAGCTGCGAGGGAATTGTTAATTACTCCTCCGGCGTTGGCTGCTCCGATACCTGCCACAACAGCTGCAATTGCGGCCTGAGGTGTCCAGCCCGAGCTAGCGTCGCTTCCCGAGAGACACTGAGTCGCTTGCTGAAATGCTGATCCACCAGATTGAACCATTCCGCTGCTATCGTTTCCATACATCAATCTGCTCAATTGTTGAATAAGCGTTTCCGCACCTAGCTGGTCCCCTGCAGGAGGTTGGTTAGGAGCAGTAGCAGACGTAGTTGGGAGAGTAGTAGTGTTGTGGTCTGAAGGCAAATATCGATCAGAGCTTTGCTGCTCATGAGACTGATGAGTAGACAATTCAGTATCTGGCTGGTCCCTTGCAGGAGGTCTGTCAGGAGGAGCAGTAACAGACGTAGTTGGGACTGTTGAAATGCGTTGACTTGAGTCTAATGGCCCAGGTCCTTCTGTTCCGGGCGCATTTTCGGGATGGGAGCTAGTTCCATGCAGATGCTGTGTTGTATTATTGATCGATTCCCTATTGACTAAATGTTCGTCATTTAGACTTTGCTCCAGAGGTGCTATGAGTGAGAATAATTTTAGTCTTCAGTTGCTGTTGGAACAGAGATTAGGCCGTATTACCTTGATTGGCCCTAACAACAGACCCGTGTAGTGTCTCCATCGCCTTGTTCAGCTGCCGCAGTGTCTCCATTTCATACTTCAGGCGCATGTAAAAATTGTTGCCGACATACACAGGGTTAGACAAATTTCTCTGCAAGCGAGAAAGGAAGGATAAAGTCTCGCGCTCTTCATAAACACGAAATAATCCACGGAGACGATCTAAAACATATATATTTGTCTCGCGCAAGCGATCAAAGCGACGGCGATCACTATTGTTTAGCTGTGGCTCTCTCGCAGCCAGGTCTCCTAGCAGCCTGTCCCCGCTCGACATCAGACGGTCAATTTGATCCCCCCAAGTTTCTGGATTCGATTTCCGGTCCCTCTTACGTCTCAATGGATGTAAGGGGTTAGTTAGGGGATCTTCTCTTTCCCACAGCTCCATCGTAGCATTAAAAATATAGACTTGGGGTTAGTATGGGTCTACGAGCAAGGATAAGGAAAAATTGATGGATGCAGGAAGTCATATAAAATATAAGTAATGGTTGACAGGCGCTGCATTGCTGTTATGCCGGATACTGTCAAAGTCCGGCTGAGTCACGTCACGAATTAGAATTAACGCTCAGTGTTGCCAATAGAATGACTACCAACTTGAAGGGTCTAGACTTCTATACTCTGTTTGTCGAGGAGTTGATAAGGCCTTGTTCCATGGTACTTATGAGGTCTTACTGGTAGTAACTCTACATTGATTTAACTCACTCGGCTGATCATGGGATGAAACTTCCTGATAGCCCAGGCTTACCAACTGAATAGACCATTCATGGTCTTGATTGGATTGCTGTGTACCTTGGTCAGCTGGGCCTGTTACACTCCATTGAGTTGCACATCCACGTAATATGAAGCCGAAAGTTCCATGGATCTCAAACTTAAAACTAAAGGGAAAAAGTAAAATAAAAATGAAAAAAGAAAAGAAAGAAAGAAACTCTTGCACTGCGTGCATTCTTGACCCAAGGAAGATAAGATCTACTGTGGCCGAGCTATTAGTCGCCTCATGAAATACTCGGTAAACGATGGCCTTGTCGTTCCAGTGGCCATCAGACCACCCTAACCCACAAGAGGCGGCGATAGTACTTAACGCTCTAGCCTAGAGACTCCAAGTCTCAACTGCATCTTAGAACTTGGGGCAATAAAGTCACTTTTTGGAGTACCAACAGACTTGGTAGATTTCCAACCAATATAGACCCATCTAATTACATAATATAGCATTTAGTTAAATGCTGATGCTGTATCTCGCTGTCGAACTTGGTGAGCATTTTAAAATCTGCTAAGAGTGTTGAACCACAGAAGTTAAAATGAACCCTCACTGAACTAACTGTGGTTCGGGTTTGGTCCTTAGCCTAGGGAGCCTCAGTGGTTTCAATTCCCTTTTCCCCACCAACCCCCCAACCCAACCCACCACAAAACCTCACGTACAGTGATTGCGGCTTTTTTTGATTAGGAGAAACCGCCCAACCCAATTAAAGATAATACATAAGAATTACCTATTTAAAACCTAGGCACTCAGTTAATCACATGGTCACATTATCATATAACATATCAGTAAGCGAGCGGATCATGCCACCCGCAGATCACGCAACCAAGCAGATCCCCAACTATTATATTGGAAACGAAGGCTATTCTCAACCCTTAAAATAACTTTATTAAAACTAGCTCGAGACAATGTGTCAGCTAGGATACCCGGAGAAGCCCAGATGCCGTCTAAGTTAATCTACTACCCTTATTTGTTTATGGGTCTTTAGATCCTTCCGCCTGCTGTCAAGGATGGTTTAGGTTCTCCTAGGCCTACCATATATGGAATGGAGCTGGTGGCGGGACAAAACGTTTGTATAGAAATTAGACTTCTATGCCATATGAGTTTGGACCCGAAAATATATATTTCTTGAGAGAATATTAATTTCTTCTACCATACCATCCACACCTTATAAAATTATAGTGCAAAGGTATAATTCTTTTAAAAAATGACTGTAGATTTAAAAAAACTATATTGTTAAAAGTGTAATATTTTGTATACCATCCCTTAGCCTTGGTAACTACCTGCACCCACCGTAGCATGGAGTTAATTAGCTTGTCAAAGTACTCCTGACCTAAGGCCTCCCCCACACACTCAATAAGATTATCAAAGCAATCTTTTAGCTCTTTAATCAGTCTATTATAGATCTCCATATCTGGTCTAGCCAGTAGATCGTTTCCTTGAGCTTAGCCCAGGCGTCTTTGATCAGGCTGAGGTCAGGGGAATATGACGGCCAATCTGCAGTCAATAGTAGAGATACCATTATCTTCAAACTATTTATTGATAATCTAGGCTGTATAGATAGGAGTATTATCTTGCATGAAAGTCATCTCTGGAGAATAGATAGCAAAGATATTACCCTCTAAAATCTAGAGATAGGAAGCACAGGCCCACAGAGTAGATATTTTAAGAGAAATTGACTTGATCCAGTGATGACCATAACACTCCACACCATGTTGACTTTGGGATTTAATCACTACAATGTCAAAAATATTTTGGACAAATATATCCATGTTGGAATTCCAGGTCAAATGTAAGCGGGATGTGACCAGGTGAGTCCACTCCAGGCACAGCCATCTTACTTAAGAAATAACCGTGGACATTATCCGCGCTTTCCTTGCTGCTCTGTTCTTGCAACTATCCCGATATCCCGATACAGTATGCATATCCGGCCCATAGCCCCGAGCAATCCCCATTCAACGCCGGATTCCACTGATAAAGCTGGGCAAGCGTGATTCCAGCACTCACGGCCATATCATAGCAGTAAACCCCTGGAAGAATCAGTAAATTATATTACCAGCAACAAAGCAATGCGAATGATATTTCTTACCGGTTTGCTGCATAACCCACTTATTGCAGTTAGCCGGAATACCCGACTGGGTTGGACCGGGAGGAGGGACCGAAGTGGGCGTTGGAGTGGACGAGACAGAGGTAGGTGTGGGACCTGAATCGCCTTTGACGCAGTAGCTATCGACAGATGTCAGTGTAGCTATAAAGATGGGAAAGGTGGCCTTACGCTTCGCCCAGGAGGAGGTTAGTGCAGTTGGCATTGATCTGGGGGTTCCAGGTCTGTAGTTGCGGAAAGGAAATCCCGTAGACGGCTTCAAGAGTGGAGCATTGATCGCCAGCGACCACCACATGCCTACAATATTTAGATCTGTAAATAACTTTTAGGGAAGGATAGGAAGGGCTTACCATGAATAACAGTACTGGGTGGTTCCTGTCGGCGTGGCGGTGGGAGCTGTCACGTAGGTAGAAGTAGTGGTGGTTGTATTTGGTGCCGTGGAGTTCCAGTCCTGCATAGGGAAGACACAGTAGTAAACGCCTGGGGGAAGAGATGAGCAATTCTGATCGATGGAGGGATTGATCGCCATAAAAAGCGCTGTGGTTATGGAGTACTGCAGGGAGATCTGCTCGCAGGTATCGCCTGCCACCACCTTGTGGTACTTGCCGCATTCCGTTGTGGTGCCGCTGGCGGTAGGACCGTCTGGGGTCACCGTTGAGGTGGCGTACTGGTTAGTCTTGGTGCCGGTGGCCCCGGCGATGGTGGTGGGGGTATACTGTGCTCCTGAGGGCCCAACGCAGATATTTGTGTCGGCGATGAGGTTGGAGCAGGCAGTGTTGATGGTGGGGTTATACGTGAGAATGTCAACGACCGAGATGCTATAGGCAGAAGCGATTGATGCGCAAGTGTCGTTTGCTTGTACCTTGTAGATCTGGCATTTCCGAGGCAGACACCTGTGTTTATGAGCAAGTTGTTGTACAACTTGTACATTTTTGATAGCTTACAAGACCTGTCCTGCTAGGAGATTGGATCCATCTGGGAAGATCCCGTTCAGCGTCTTGAGAGGTCCTGTGGGGACTCCTTGCGCCTCGGCAATGGCTTGGATATTATCACCAGCCACGGTAGTATAGAAATTGTTGGAAAGACATGTGGCATTCGACGGATCTGAGTAGTCCACGCCCGGAACCGCCGTGATATTGGTGGCGGGGGGTTGAACCTGAGTTGGCAAGGGCCCTGTCTGACACGTCTGCTGGATCGCAGCCCAGTCGGCGACGTGGTTCTCGTTGTAGTTGGAGTAGGCTGTGGCCTGCATCTGCTGGATGAGATTCAGCACGCAAGGGGAGCACAGCTGGTCTTTGGAGAGAGTTGTCAGGGACGTGTCCGTCTCTCCGAGCAGTGTTTGGATGTCCCCAATCTCATCTATAGAGCATTAGCATTAGCCCTCGTTCACTATCTCTGGGGTGATTGTCTCACTCGTGCAATAGACTCCCGTCTTGGGGTCCTTGAGGCAAGTGCGGTTGTAGGTTGCCCAGAGAATATCTCCCGCCCAAACGGCCGGTATACCGTCCCAAGGTTGAGGATCATTTGCACACTGCTCAGAAATAGTGTTATGGTACGTTGTTAGAGATGTACCGCAGGTACTTTGGCAGAGTTGGTCCTGGAATGTATCATTTCCCAGCGGACCGAAATGGTCGATTGTGGCTAGTGTGTAGAGGTACGGATCGCATTGCAGCGTTGCCTCAAGGGCGTTGCTGCACGCAGCAGACAAGGTGACGGAGGAGTTCAGACCATACTGATAGAGATTGATCTGTCCTACTACTGGCGTTGCCACGAGGGCAACGAAGCTGAAAAGAGAGGGCTTCATATTGCTGACCAGACAGTGCTGCAATCAGCTATAGATTCCTCCGTGGGCCTGAAAATGCGCAACAGAGGAGCATAATAAGAGAAAGGGTTCTCTGCCTTCGACACAAGTTTGGACAGCTCTGATGAAGGGCCGAAATCGGTCTCAGGAAATTAAACCTCAGCTATCGCATATCATCGTCTGACCAATCTGAGTTGGGAGCATGTAGGAAGGAGAATCAAGTAGTTGAGTCCATCTGAACATCCGCAATCATACTGATGTTACCCACCTGGCAGGAAAAAGAGCGAACTGGATTAGCGTGTATGCACTTTACAGGTTAACCCACTGAGTGATCATAAATCATTATATCATAACACTGTCAATTCCGCACATCTCAATTAAATGAGCTAGCCTAGCAACATAGTTGTGTAGAGGCTCTTCAGTATCATTGGGTGTTTTCGACTTGAGCCTCCGTCCTGGCCCCCAACACCCTACATTAGTGCTTATTCACGGAGGACCTAATGCACGCTGACTCAGTTACTGCGTCACAACGTCACCCGACCTGATTAGAATCCGGGCTGCAAGTGCATGAAGGGCTATCAAATCTGGTGGATCTTGTTGGGAGGAGAAGCGAACCACATTTGCAGACTCGCCCACAGAGATGGTCGGCATCCTCTTGGCTAACTCAGGTACCCATCGATAAAATGACGCTGTGGAGACGCTAGGACTTACCTTACCAGTAGAAGAATATAAACAAGGAATGGCAATGATAGCTTAGCTTCCTTAATCTGAAACAGCAAACAAACTTAAATTCAGTCAGCTCAGCTGAAGGGTCTAAGCAGGGTTCAGCGCTGGAATTGCCTCACATTTATCTCATGATATCATGATCGTTGCACAATGACATGCTCCAAGCAGGTAGGTGGAGATGGCTGGCAGGATTACTGAACACTAGTCACAACTAGTAAGCCCTTACGGATGCGGAGGGATATGACTTTCAGCAGGCTAATCTCAGGATCATCCTCGAGTCACATCGCTTGCCCCTGCTTCCCCCCTCTCTCCTTCTTGACAAGCCCTCCGAAGACGGATGCTGGCTGCTTCTAGACAGATGGATCAATTCACGCGAATTCCGTCGGAGTGTCCTTAAATATGACACGGCTACGACATGAAGGACTCTTTTCTCAGATGACCTAGAGGTTATTGTTGTTGTGTCCTTCTTTCCTTCTTTCCTTTTCTTCTTCCATACACACCAGTCGCTCTCTTGAGTAGAAGTCTTACGTGGCCAACCATGAATGGGGTCCTCTTCTTCTGGTTGTGCCTGGTCTCCTGGCTACATCTGGCCACCGCACAGGACTACACCTGCAGTGCCACCAAGCCCTGTGCCATCGGCTGTTGTTCGAATACTGGGGTTTGTGGCCTGGGGCCCGACTTCTGCGGAGCTTCTTGTATCTCAAATTGTGATCGCAAGTCAGATTGCAATCCAGGATGGGGAATGCAGGTAGGTCTTCAGTATGGCACGTGTGTATCATCAGGATGCTCACACATGCCAGTGGTCGCAAGCCGACAAATGTCCCTTGAACGTCTGCTGCTCCAAGTTTGGATTCTGTGGTACGACTGAGGACTTCTGTGGCAACAAGACTGTTCAGTCGCCCCAGTGCTCCAGCGGTTCCAGCTCGTCCAAGAGGACCGTCGGGTACTATGAGGCCTGGAGTATCACGCGCAGCTGTGATCGCATGTATCCTGAATGTATGTCCCTGCTTTTTCTGCGAGCCAGATGACGATGAAACTGACTTCATAGCCCTACCGATCGGATCCTATACCCATCTCAATTTCGCTTTTGCATTCATCGTGAGTGGTACATAGGTCTTCTCTTGATCCGTTGGCTGACAATGTCAGGACCCGTCCAGCTTCAAGGTTGCACCAATGAACGCCGGTGATGAAGCACTCTACAAGCGCTTCACCGGCTTGAAGAGTTTATATCCCGATCTGGAAACTTGGATCTCCATCGGCGGTTGGAGTATGAACGATCCTGACCAGCCCACGGCCACCACATTCTCGGATCTGGCGGGCTCAGCCGATGCCCAGGCAAAATTCTTTGACTCTCTGATCTCTTTCATGGAGACTTACGGCTTTGACGGCGTTGATATTGACTGGTCCGTTGTATATTCAGATGAATGTGTTATGTTCGCGCTAATCAGGTTCAATAGGGAATACCCCGTGGCCGAGGAGCGTTCTGGCAAGCCGGCAGACTATCAGAACTACCCTGCTTTCTTGAGAAATCTCCGAAACGCCCTGAGCTCCACCGGACACAAGTATGGACTTTCCATCACGGTACGTCTTTTTTTCTCTTCTTTTTTTTTTTTTTTTTTTTCTTTTTTCTTTTTTTCCCCTTCTTTCCAGCTGGCAGGGATACATTTTTCGGACGTTGGCTAAACACAATATCGATGATGTGGTAGATCCCCTCCTCCTACTGGTACCTACAGCATTTCGATATCGTTGAGATCGAAAAAACAATTGACTGGTTCAACATGATGTCGTATGACCTACACGGCACCTGGGACAGCTCCAATCGCTATACTGGCCCGTACCTGAAGTCTCACACCAACCTTACGGAGATCGACCAGGCGCTCGAGCTGCTCTGGCGGAATGATATCAACCCTGACCATGTGGTGCTGGGACTTGGTTTTTACGGTCGATCTTTCACCCTCACGGACCCCGCCTGTTCCAAGCCAGGATGCACCTTCTCCTCCGGCGGTAATGCAGGCCCTTGCACCGCCGCCGTCGGCACGCTATCTTATGCGGAGATCGAAAGGGTCATTGCTGGTGGGGCCAAGGTCGAGCTTGATACGGATGCAGCGGTCAAGATCGTGACCTGGGGCGGAAACCAATGGGTCAGCTACGACGATGCCGACACGCTCAAGCTCAAGCTGGATTATTCCAACAAACACTGCCTAGGAGGCACCATGGTGTGGGCCGCATCGACGGATGACGCGCAGGGCAGTGCAGCCGCGGCGCTCTCCAAGTTGACTGGCCGGTCCATCATCTCGCTGGCCGCAACCTCCTCGTCGGCCGACCAGGTTCAATCCTGTCAGCTGGGAGAATGCGGGAAACAGTGTCCGAATGGTCTCAAGCCGGCCCAGCGCAGCGATGGCAAGAACAAGGGCAACACGGGAACAAATACTGGATGTCCGAGCGGCCAGTCGCGACTCTATTGCTGTCCCCCAGACAACATGCCCACGTGCCAGTGGAGAGGAGGAGCGCCATTCTGCAATGGCAAGTGCCATGACGGCGAGGTCGAAGTCTCGAGCAGTCTCAGCGGCACGGGATCTGAATGCTGGACCGGACATAAGGTGCTGTGCTGCACGCAGAATGCGGCCAACGCGGCCGTGGCCGAGTGCAAATGGTATGGCAGTGCGCCGTTTTGCGCAGCACCGTTCAGCAAAGCTAGTTGCCCCACAGGCCGCCAGAGTCTCACGTACTCGAACTATGGTGCCGGTGGTGAGGAGCCATGCATCACAGGATACAAGGTGAGTAATCCTCCCTCCAGTTTGAGGAACGGATCTTACTGATATCGAACGAGTCCTTTTGTTGTGACCAACCTCCTCCATATGAGAACTGTGATTGGTATTACCATGGTGGCAAAATCCTGGGACAGATTCCGTTTCAATGTACAGGCGAATGTCCTGCCGGCAAGGCATCCATTGCAACAGATCCGTCGGGATGCCTTTCAGGTTGGTCATTTCTCACTCTTGGATAACTACGATTCGGCTAATGACGGTCAGGTTACGGATCCTTCTGCTGTAGCTCTCCCTCGACGACGGTAAGTCCTTCGGCCATGATTGCAGCATCAGACCTGACATTCCATAGAATGATCCGCAGGTAGCTGCATTTACCGCACAATTGGAGAAGTTCGTCAAGAACCCCGTTTGCAAGGCGAGCGACCGGCAGTACACCAAGCGTGATGGTGGTGAAAGGACTGTGGCTCTGGCCAAGCGACACGACCTGGCTCCGTCGGACTGGTCGGCGCTAATGTTGCAGATTACGGCCCTGGCAATCGGCAGGGCTGGGACATATCAGTCGTCGCTGATGGCGGGCCAGTTCAACACAACTTATGGCGAACCGTTTGGTCTGTCGTTGGACCAGATCCATCGATCGTTTGACGACGCGTAAGGTCTCCCCTTCCTTGCGTTATAGCGTCTCAGCCGCTGACCTGCTTAGACCTCTGGTGGACACGAATTCCCGCACTGAGAGTCTCATGTGCATGGGCAGAAACGCCGGGAATGAGGTAGACGACTATGAAAGGTCCCGAAGCAGCGTCTGTGTCCTTCCGTGTGCTGCGGCCGGGGCCAAACGTCGCGGCGTTGACGCTTCTCTGTCGGAGTCGAATGGCACCAAGTTGCTCCTCAATCGGAACATTGGGGAGTCGGAGGAATCTCAGTCCTCGGCGCAGTTCGGGTTACCCACGTGGGGTAAGTCCCCGTTCTTCTCAGTGGTTATCGAGTGATCAGTCTGACTGTGCAGGGTACATTGTGGACGGCATCGTCAACGGCCACATGACGCTGGTCTATGAACAGCTCATCAACACCAACGCGGGCGAGAACATTCTCGAGAGTATGTCATGTCACCGCGTCTATTTGTCTGCTTGATTTTGATTTCTAATCTGCAATAGTTGTCTGGGAAGTCCCTGACGATAGCTATCGGGAGACGGCAGCCGATCGCTGGGTGGTCTTCCACTTCCACTTTGAGCATCTGGCCAACCGCGGGGGCGTCAACCGCCCCGGTATCTACGCGATTGTCGCCTTCCACGCCCAGCAATATGCGAACAGCAACCGCTACTCGCGCGTGGACGGCAATGGCCACAACACAGACAATCGGCGGGCGCATATTCTCCAGTGCAACACGGGGAGTCAGGCGACGGCCAATACGATCTACTGGTACCCTGGCGATCTGCCCAACTCGGCAACCAGCAATCTGCCAGTGTGGGCGCAAGTACTTACGCGGTTCGGGAACTATCTGTTTGACGAGGA